AAAAACGACAATCCATATTTAAAAAAAAAAAATTGAGTAAAAATATATAGAAATAACAAAAAAAAGTTTTCTTTGTATGTTAAGTGGATATTCAAAAAGGTGTAACTTGTCCAATTAACTCAATAAAATTAAGTGGATATTCAAAAAGGTGTAACTCATCCGATTAAATGATTAATTAGATGCATTAACGAGACTTTTATGTGGAAAAATAAATAAAAAATGTTAAGAAATTTCAACGCCACCACCATGCAGGGCAGGCACAACATCAATTGTATTATGTGATACCCCAATTTCCTAACGAGGTTAATCAAGTAATCACCTAAAAATCGAAAGATATCAAATAATTAATATTTAAATAATTACGGAATATAAAATAAAATAATAATAAAAAATAAATATAATTTGAAAGGAAAAAATAAATAATAAATTAAATTGTAAAAATCCTCTGGTACAATAAAATCCCATAATAATAAAATAAATCTCCATTGTACAACTTGGGAATCCATAAACACATGACACATAAATAAACCCCATAATAGAGTCTAAACAATAAATAAAATATAGGATATCGTCCTACGTCGACAATCCGGAATAATGAATAATAAAGTTTCTGATCAGCACGAATAAACTCTAAGCCTGGAACTAACATGAACCTGAAAAATAAATTATGTGTTAGACCCACGAGAACTAATAATCAATAGATCCCTAGGTAAACTCATGCAATAACTACTACATAGTCGATACATACATATACACACTAAGATGTTTATTGACATATAGGGCAGTCTCAACCGAATAGTGGCTATCTTGATAAAAATCGTACACAATGTGGTCAAAAGTCCACCTCTACCAAGGCACATACATCTCCTATATTCAGCTACTCATCTTTCCGGCAATATACGTTTGAGTTATAACCATTGATCCCGAGACATCAAACTCGTATCGCAATTCATACAAAATTATACACATCAAATCGTCAAAGCCATATCTAATAATGACATAAAATATCAAGAAGCCTAATTTATTAGTTATCTTAATGATCTCATCACATACATGCATAAATCTTATTATAACCATATCTAACAATGGCACAACAAATATAAATAGACATTTATCGAATCTAAAATCATAATATAATAAAATCATTATTAAAATCATAATATCATTTACTCACATTATTAAGCAATGGTAAAACTAATAACTATAGCCATGTAACATGTGTGTAAACCGTAAGTACATCATTAACCATGATTCTAATCATGAATCCAACAATTACATTTAATTACACAAATTAAATATCATGAAAGATTAACTTATACTTATTACTTAATTTAATCATTTCCATCAAATATCAAATATCGATAGTCTAATATAATTGTATATATTTTAAACCCATGTCACTGTTCTCAATACTAATAAACATGTTCAGGATCATTTATACTCAAACCGGGGTCATTTGAAACACTTTTGAAGAAAACGGGTTCCCAGAGCTCGAGCACAACCTCCATGTACTCGAGCACAAATCCTAATGCTCAAGCACTAGGTACGGGACAGTGTTGTGCTTAAGCACAAATCGCGGCAACAGATCGAAAGGTCCGTATTAGGTCTGTAACTCCGTCATTGGGGTCCTAAAACATAACTTCAAAGTCCCATGCGATCACCAATGGTATATATATAACGAAATTATATAAGACCCAACAATTAAAAATAAGTTTCATGCATAAAATCAAAGAACCCATTAAATTAAAAAACAAACACATATAAACATGAAAATAGTTGGTTCAGTTCATGCATAGCAATTAATTGTTCAATTAATTTTTTGATTTAAGCCTTAAAATTTAGCATGTGATGGAGAGATTATAGATTCAAAGGGTAAGAGATAGATAAGGAACTTGCCTTATTATTTTCGGATTAATTGAAAATTAACTACACAAGCTCTCTGGTCTTCTTTTCTCATTTTGGCAACCTTCAAGCTATCTCCAGCTAATACTTCTTGCTCCGATCACCTTTTTCTTCCTCTTCTAATCAACCTTCTCCCTCCACCTTTATGCTACAACTCATTTTCTCTTCTCTCAAATTTCATGTATCAAAAACTCTCCTAATAGCTACACACACTGTATAACTATCAAAACCTTAATTCTAATTTAATTAGGAAGACATATAATAATTATATATATATATATATATATATATATATATTTAATGATACACATAAATAAATATGTATATAAATATATATAACCACATAAAAAATTATATAGATATAAATACAAATATGGGCTTATAGTCTTTCACCTAACCAGGCCTTTAAATTAATTAAAGCCTTCTCCTTCAAAGCCCAACTCATAGTCCATTAACTTAGCCCAACTAGTTTAAAACTAAAATAAATTAAAACAACAAACATATAAACAATTAACAACTAATTAAACTAATACAATCAAATTAACATGTAACTACAACAATTCACAAGCAAACAAATAATTAAACAATAACTAAATTCATTAAATTGAATAATCAATTATACACAATTAAATATCACTTAAACACATTAACTCAATAATTCATTAACAATTAAATCATATAACCAAACATGCTTAAAGAATTAATTCAAATAAATAATTACATTAAATGAAATAATTAAACGAACTATTTGCCATCTTTTTATCTTTCCCTTTGATGTTCTAAAAACTATTATATTACCCTTTGATGTTTTAAAAAGTCTATCATATCACCCATTCTCTTATAGTTTTCCGTCTAAATTTAACGAGATCGTATCACATGAAAATCATGTGCAACAGTTACATCATTTTTTGATCAAAATAACTTTGTAATTCGTAATAACGAAATTTCCCTTCTCACACTATAATTTCAATTTAATAAAATATTAATATACTATCAAGAATATTATTGTCATTTCGCAACAAGTTAATTGTCATGTAAAGGGGGGCAACGTGATTTCAGGAGGTTGATTGATAATTGAGGGGCTTATTTGACCTTTGAAAACAAGATGTTTTTATTTATTTATTTATTTATTTATTTATTTTTTATTTATTCTAGCCCAATAAAATTTATAACTCTTTAATTCAAGAATAGTTAACTAATTGTATTAAATGATCTTCAATATTAAATAAAATTTACTAATTGAATTACTTATTCATAAAAAATATAATTGATCGGCATTTTTGCTAACAACATCTAAAATTCATGATTAGATTATTACTTGTGGTAAATGATTTTTAAAAATTCAATAACATTCGTTTAAAACATTTTTATTAAATTATGTGGTAAAAAATTGCTTATTGGTAAATTTTGGGTATTATGTGTGAGCTATAAAAAAAATTCACGATTGCGATATTGTTACGAAAAACTGATACGAATCCAATTTCGTTACACTGTGATTGTTACCGATACCGCAATTGCAAATCTTGATCAAAACTTTTAGAATACCCCATTATCCATCAGAGCAAGAGTTAATTGAGTCATCAATTATTGTTATCAACTAACCAGAGAGATGAGATTTAAGAAAAAAAATAGGTTTGTAACTTTGTATAACTTTAAGACCTTTAATTAAAAATTGGGTCCAATATAGGACCAAACCTATAATATTTGTGAGATGTTCAACTGACCTTTGGACCATCCAGACCTACTACAATACGTGCAAATAGATTTGTTTAAGATACTGAAAAATGGTTACAGAAATGAATTAAAAACCATGAACCGGATTTGGTTCACTTAATTTTAAAGACAACTAAAACTCACCTAATTTTAAAGACAAGAACTGGTAGGGCAATAAACTGGTCCGATCATGATCCGATTTTGGTCTGAAATTAACCCAATTTAATTAAGACTTGGACAACTTAGATATGTTTTGTTCAGTTCTAACCAAAAACGGAATTTTATAATTAAAAACAATCAATTAATACTTTCAACAACTTAGATCAGGATCCGATTTTGGTTCGAAGTGAACCTTTTGTAGTTTTTTTAAAATAAAATTGTTATTAGTAAACAGAATCAATTCTAATCCAGTTTTTTAAAAACTGCATCCAAACAAATTTACGTACTATTTATCATTTCTGAAATTTATGTGAATAAAAATGTCTTTAAAAATATGAACAAAACAAGTCTTTTAAAGTCACTTTATTTTAATGACACAACTAGTAACATCGGTTAATCTCAATCTAAACTTGTTTCAGCTACAATATTGAATTAAATTTAGTAATTGAAAAATGAATTCGAATAGAGTCTTGTTAAGAATTGTACCCAATTGTTGTAATTTTTATACATTTCACTAATTTTTAAAAATAATAATATAATTCAAATATGTCTTAACAAAACAATTTAAAACCTATCTACATAGTATAACATAGTTCTATCATAATGCAACACAATTATATCACAAAAAGCTACATCTATTCCAATTTTTAAAAAATTATGCAACATATCTATATATAAAAAAACAATATCTATGCAATATATATTTCTTACCTATTATAATATTATAACACCGTTAAATTAAGAAATTAAACTATATTGCCAATTTAAAGTTGTTACGAGAATGAGTCAAAATTATAAAATTGTTAAGGCATGCACAAAAACACAATAAATACAAAGTGACAATGCCTTCAAACTTTTTCATTTTTTTCAAAGACGATGTCTTAATCTAAAGGATTCCAAATATTCAAAAGTGACTCAAAGTTGACTCCAATGAAAAACCAGTCCATTCTGTAATATTCGCGTAGTATTTTTCTCAACAGAGAAAAATAAAAATATATCTCTCTCTCTCTCTCTCTCTCTCACTCAATATATTCAGTGGGATTTTGCACTCGAAAACTGTGGGGCCCACCTTGTCCTAGAACGGGGTTCTCCTTATTGAGTCGGGTCATTTTCTAACTATACGTACAAATATACTATATATAGCGATAGGCCGTTTTGACCCAGCTCGGGCAGACGGGGCAGACCCTTCCACCGTTCGGGCAGCTCTTAAACACTGCACACGCCCAAAAAGATAATGATCTCTCTCACACACACTACTGAGGACAACTGAGTAGAGAGAGAAAGTAAGAGTTCTAGAGAGAGAAAAAGAGGAGTGCAGAGGTGAAAAGTTTTCAGAGGGATAAAAAGGGGGCAAGAAAAAGGCAACATATACAGAAAGAGGGCTGTTGAAAATAAATCACAATGAAAGACGATTTTGTTTGATTCCCATTTGCCTTGCCTTTTCGGTAACTGTGTTGAGATCGGCTTTTGGTTCTGATCTTATCGATGGTTTGTTGGACGACAATGGTGGAGATTTGGGCGAGCTGTTGTTGATTTTGGGGAGCTAGGGTTTTTGGGCGTTGAGGGCTTTGGAATGCTGTGTTCGGAGGTTGTTGATTTGGATCTGAGAATATCAGGATGATAGTGATGGAGAGAGGGGTGGTGGCATCGATTTTTGTCTGGTTCATCGTGTTGGCTTATGTACTGAAATTCATCAGTGCTAATACGGAAGGTGTGTATATGCGTATGTGGGTTGGTTTTTCATTCTTGTCTGATTTTTCTCTGTTTATGTAAATTTTTATCTTGTATTGTTTATATATAGAAATGGGTATTTTCAGTATGATTCTGGTTTGTTCAATTTTGTAGTATAGGGACCAAAAAAGACCATGTAGTTGAATTTTATCTTCCTTGTGGCATTTATTATTTATTCTGTTGAACTGTATGAAATGGGTGAATACAGTAGTGATCATCACTGATCTTCTTTAGAAAAATGGGCACTTGAATGTATTTTTTGGACAATGCCCTTTATTGAACATTATTCCTCACATGCTTAATATGTAAAATGGCTACAGTATGCACATGATAGATTATTCTCTGCGACTGTGACTAATTACCCCGTGACATTCGAAACATGTTTTGATTCTTCATTACTTTTTTTTATTGTAAAACTCTGGCAATTGCCTTAAATTTGATAAACTTGTTCTTGGGTAGCTTTCTCAAGGGTTATATTCTACAACGATGATTCACTTAAGGGGCTTTGGCAGATACCATTCAGCCACAGGACATTGAGTAATCGCTGATCAAGCAGGCAACGTGTGCTTTTCTGAAAAACTGGTTTCAAAATGAACTTAAAAAATCAAGTGGAACTTTTGATTTTGAAATAGTTACAAATTAAAATAAACATTGATTAGAAGAGCTTTTCTGGTAAATCTACATTCACAATTTCTTATGTCCACAACAATTTTTTTTTCAAAACATCAAAAGCTCCTTTTGGTTTTAACAGATCCATTTGTTTCTCTTCAAAGCAGCGTGGCACACATCCAAGTTGCCTCTGCTAACCTAAGCGTTTTTCTTTGGATAAACTGTTTAGAATTTAAACCCATTTTTCGAACTAAAGCCCCATTTCTTTGTTGGAGTAGCAAGATTTGTGGCAATTGGGGATGAAGCTTTCTTATTTTGCCCAGTCCAGGCTTTATCATAGCATGCCTTTACAATTCTAGTGTTACAAGTGCCATCTAATTTGGTTTCTTTGATATATGACCAGGTGATGCATTGCATAGCTTAAGGACCAACTTAGAAGATCCCAACAATGTGTTACAGAGTTGGGATCCTACACTTGTCAACCCTTGCACGTGGTTTCATGTTACATGCAACAATGATAACAGTGTTATAAGAGTGTAAGCGGCTGCTCTAGACATGTATTCCATGTATATGCTTATGATTTAACCTTCAAAGCTGGCCTATGAATTAATCTGGAAATGGTACTATTTCTGATGACTTTACCCACCTACATTTTTTTTTTCAGAGATCTTGGGAATGCAGCTTTATCTGGTCAATTGGTCCCCCAGCTTGGCCTATTAAAGAATTTACAATATTTGTAAGCCATACTTTCATGCTAAGGACTTTCTTTTAGCTGTTTTAGTTTGTTCTTATAGGATTTATCAGTGATGCTGCATCGCTCTTTCTTTTTCCTTTTTGTTGTCTTCAATAAATTTCGCTAGCTGCTGGTTTTGTGTTTTTCTTTGCATATAGTACTCATAATTATTTTTAATATAATGAATATGGTTGCATGTTCTTAAGATTTATGTTTAATCCTTTGCTTATGTGTAAAGCAGTTTTGGAATTCCCTGCATTAGAAACGATTCCTCATATTGTGGTTTCATCTGGTAACATGAACATTAACAGTTTGTGACAAAGATCATAGCTATTGGTTTGGTGGGAAAGAGAAATGGATCTCGAAGGAAATCCTATAGAGATAGAGAAAATGTGCAACATAGAGGCAGCAAAAGAAGCCTAGTAAGAGAGTTCTGTGTACAGATACAATATTTGAAAATTGGATACTCTTTCTAGGGCATGTCAAATAAAAAATGTCCGGCATGTGGACAAGTATCTCATGCTCATAACCAACTGTTTTGTGTCCAATAGGGGTACTTCATGCATATTGCATTGAGAATACTTCGTGTATCCTAGTTGTGAATTCTGCTTAAAGATATTTTTGCTTTAAGAAATGGGAAAAACGGTTGGTGCATGGGTTTTTAAATGAGTTAAATTGATATAGGTGATATTCTTCGTATTGAAATACAAGAGGTATTTAGGAAAAAAAAATAAAAAAAAGAAACACAAGAGGCATATTTGGATGACTTTGGAACAAATTGGAAGGGCTATCCAATTATTTATATTGTTGGATGAGTTAGGGTGTGACTAAATTGTTGTTTGTAGAGAAAATATTTTTAACACAGAGAGACAGCTTGTGGTATATTTAACCAGCTGGCTTTTGATCAATTCCATGTGGCTTCCAATGAGTTAGGATGCTGTGACTAAAAGTTCCATTTGCAGGTGAGCAGCCTTGTGCATCTCTTGATCGCTCTAGCTTGGCTCCCATGCATATTGAAGCCATTCATCTTAATATCTTTTGGAACTTTTTTAAGGACAAGAAAGATTCTCTTTTGCATGAAAGATATTGCCATATTGGTGGTGGGACCATGTGCACTATTTTAGTTTTTGAGAGATCGGGTTTTCATTTTAATTTAAGGTTAAATTGGGGTGGGGGTGGGGGGGGCCTTCAGTCAGTATTTTGAAAAATCGTATATGTTATCAAAAAGTTTGTAGATTGGTGACCTTGAGTCGAGTTACTCTCACTATGTAATCAGTCATGCATGCATGATTAGTCGAGTATGGGTATCAAATATCATGGTGAGAATTAATTAATCAACTTTTAACTGTTGATAGGTCTAGTTTTTTTTTCGGTAAATCATTGATTGGTCTAGGTTGGTTAATTATCAAAAAAAAAAAAGTTGGTGGTTTTACTAAAGCTTCTTTAAGGTTCATGAATAATATTACTTAAAAAAAATGAAATTTAATTAAAATAAAAGAACAAAATAATCATAATAATAGAACATGATCTTGAGAATCCTTATCAGAGCAACTCTGAATTCACTCCTTGAAATTTAGAATTTTTTGAGACAAAGATCAAATTATAGTTGGAAAAAATAAGAAGATTATTGGGTACTAATATCATTGAGTATCATTAAGCATTGTTTATTTAAAAATAGAGCTCTCTTCTTGAAGAGAAGAAATATTGACACCTACTAAAGGAAGTGAATAATAAAATTCTTAAGCCAATTTTTTTGTAAATTGTAATTTGATGCATCTTCACTTAAGTGTGAATGCGAAGTACCCTCGTCATTCCCTAGGCCTTTCCTTCTTTTTTAGAGGTGTGAACCCTCGACTTATTTCTCTTTGCTTCTCATCAATCTATTTCATTTCCTTTTCCACCTTGTTGGACCAGAAGGAATCTCTCTTTCATTAAAAGTTGTCATACATCTAATAAGCTAAAGAGCGACTTATAGGTTGTGCCGTGCTCCTTTGGCTTTTGGTAAGATACTTCGGTTTACCAGGGAAAAAAAAACGTGGATTGAACAGCAATAACGTCATTAATGATAATCATCATATATCAACTTATCAAGTTTATATATCATAATCGTATTTGGATAATACAAAACACGTGCATACATTCCTGACTGTGATTGATCCCTGCACGTCTCCCGCATGGGCAGGGATGGAGCCAGAAAATTGTGTGAGGGGGGGCGATAGTGTAATTTTCTAATAATTCCAGTGGGGGCAGTAGTGTAATTTTGTAGGTACATATATCAAAATGTAAATTAATAGGGTATATTGCTAAAAAAAAAAAAAATCAGTGGGGGCAATTTGCCCCCACTGACTTGTGAATGGCTCCGTCCCTGCGCATGGGGTCACGGATTTTTACTCATGCTAAAACAGCCTGTATATTATGTATTAATGCTGAAAGCACCGTAATTGCTGGTTCAAAATGGATGACACCGTGAACATGCATTTTATAAGCATATGCCTAACTCTTGAAATGTTTGTCCCCCATGACTGGTCCATTGGATCTGTTTGGAGAATTTGCAAAACATATCCAATTATGGTTTGAATGGGCTCTAATCCCGTAGAAGTTTTTGCTTTAAAATTGTTCTCTAAATATCAGATATGTTTTGAAATTTTCATTCCATTTTTTGATTGTAATGCACCATTGAACTTGCTAGATAAAATATTGGACCCAATTTAGGCTTCCTTCCAGCCCAAGGGAAACTTTTCATGTACAACTTAGTTTAATGCTCTTTAACTTGGAAGTTGTATGATATTGTGAAGTTTCTCATCTACAAATCGTTAACATAATTTTTGCATGACAGGGAACTCTACAGTAATAACATAAGCGGACCGATTCCTAGTGATCTTGGTAATCTGACTAACTTGGTGAGCTTGGATCTCTACCTGAACAGTTTTACTGGCCCTATCCCAGACACTTTGGGCAAGCTGTCAAAGTTGCGGTTCCTGTATGTACACTTGTCACCTTTTCTCTTCAGCTGTTTGGCATTCATGTTGTAGTTCTAAATTTACATGTTCATTTTGCTTTTTTGCCATTAATTTATACTAACAAGAGGGATGTGCCTAACGCATTGATGTGGGTGGCAGGGGGACACTTGACAGTAAGGAAGAGGGGAGGGGTGCTTCAGTGGTGGTCTTGGTGTGTTTGGGTGACATGTAGGTTTTTGTGGTTGATATAGCCCATATGACCAATCTGACATTGATGGGCCAACAACTTACAAAATTTAACTTTAGAGTAGATTCCTGCAATTTCCAGCAAAAAGGCTTGAACACCATGAAAAATAATAGCAAAGGGAAAGATGAAGGAATTCGTCTTAAAAACTATGGCAATTATAATGGCCAGAGACCAGATGAAGAGGGAAAAAAAGAAGGAAAAAGGAGAGCAGTATACAGTAAAAAATCAAAGATACTCGTTGATGTAGCTGGAGAGAGAAATTGATGTAGTGGAAAACCTAATGTACAAACCTGCCATTTTCCTGCTGTTACTCAAAATTCACAGCAGGAGCTCTTATAGTTGACATGGTCACTGTCAAGTAATGGTAATGACTGAAAACCTTGGTGGTAACGGGGGTGGCAGTCATAGCAACTACCAAGTATCAATGCCACGGTTCTAGTGATGGTGGTGGTGTTTCACTGGTTGTGCAGCAGTTGTGGTGTGCTGGTGGTGGTGTTTCAATGGGGTTGTAGTTTTAGGCTTCCTTAATAGTAGCATTGAGGTGTTGTTGGGTGGTTCTAGGAATGGCTGTATTGAACTTTAATAAGGGATTATGGACTGGAACCAATCAAGACATGGGTAATTTTTTTTTTTTTTTTTGAAATTATCCAGAATAAGTGTTAAATTCCTTATCCAATAATTTATATTTTTTGATAGAAACACGCCTGCTTCAAATGTAAGAATGTTAGGCATTCAATTTGATAAGGACAGGTTCCTTGCACATTGAATGATTGATTAGGAAAGCTGTTTTTGTAGCATTATAACTTAGAAGTTTAAGTATCTGGAAAGAAGGAATGAGTTGTTAGGATTAAAAGGATCTATGTGAAAGTAAAATTCTCCAATGAAATTTGGGTCCACTGTATTTCTTTATGCTGAACTGCTTTTTCCCTCTTTATTTTGTATGTGTGTTGAGGGGGGCAGAGGTCGGAATGCTGTACACTATGACATATAGAATTTTGTGGTTATAAAAGTATCTTATATCAAATATAAATGCATAATTCAAATGTGTTATTTTCTGAAGCAATAAACTAGATTATTTCAATCTTCCTCAGCGGAAATTTAAAAATGTATTTGAGCCATGATATGATGCTAACATTACCCAACATAATAAAGAGCCCGTGACAATAGACATTCCAAACCTTGAGCAGAATAGACAACCTGAGTTTAATCCAAATCTCAACCCACTTTATATATATGTATATGGATATATATGTCACTTTATGGTGCAATTAGGTCTATGATGAAACTTTGGGGTGCCTTTCCCAGCCACCAACAACCCCCCTCCCTCTCTGCCTCCCTCCCCCGCGCGCGCCGCCAGTTAAAATAAAATGTTTCAGTTCACCTTTATTTGTCTTTTCTGATGGAGTTTTTATTTATTTATTTATTTATTCCCTAGTTGTACTCACACACACATGCCTCCACTGAGGCTTGAACCCCTGACCTCCCTTTGGGAAGTAGGGGCCTGGTACCACTAGACCACTGGCTTGTTGGTAAGTTTTTATTTATTTATTTTTACGGAGGTTCCCCAAACTCAACCAAGTATAATCCACAACCAACCTGAATTCGAATATGATTTTTATGACTCCAATTCAAAGATTTGATCATGAATTGGAGAGCTTGGGTTGAAGGTTGACTTGAGTTGAATTTCATACCTTTGGTAGAGTTTGGGCTAACTTCTCAACTTGTCCAAGCTGCACCCTTTTCTTATATAAGTTATATGCACCTCACTAGATGGTTTTGTGCTCTGAAGTATCCTGGTTTTGCTTAGCTTGTACATTAACAATTTTGATTAGCGTTATATCTCTCAAACCATCTTGGATCCTAACATTGTATAATCTTTAAATGTCTGTGCAAGGATAGCCGACTTAACAACAACAGCTTGTCGGGTCCTATTCCATTGTCATTGACTAATATCTCATCACTGCAAGTATTGTGAGTACTGATTGATTTTTTTTTTACTACTGTCTCTCGATCTCTCTCGATTTCAAGAATGCAATATTATCGCGTTGCACTATCATGCAGGGATCTATCAAACAACCGTTTGTCAGGAGCAGTTCCAGATAATGGCTCTTTTTCTCTGTTTACGCCCATCAGGTCCTTGCTAATAAATTAATATGCATTCATCTTGACTGACTTTGGTTTCCGGGATAATGCTTAATAGTTGATTTCGGTTTTTCTGTTTTTCGGTTTTGCAGTTTTGCTAATAACGTGGGTCTATGCGGCCCGGTTACTGGACGCCCTTGCCCCGGATCTCCTCCGTTTTCTCCACCCCCTCCATTTGTCCCACCACCGCCAATTTCATATCCAGGTGATTGTCCTACTCTTGCTTATTAAGAGTTGAGTTCTATTGAATGCCGAATATGTTGTAGCATGTCTTCACCTCTAATCTAATTTCTCCTATCTTCCATTGTTTTGGTTCGTTTCGATGTGCAAGAAATTAATGGACCTTCTATCTTTACGCCCATATGTTGTGATTTCGGTTAGGAGTTGCGTATGCATTTATTAGGTCAGCCAATCAAGTCAGAGACCATCCCCGAAGTATGCAGGGGCATCCCCGAAGTATGCATTTTCGTGTTGTGTGGGCAATCTCCTCCTCTTTCTTCACCTCAAATGGTCTTCTAATACAATTCAGAATAATGCATTCAATTTTAAATTTGACGGTAGAAGTGAATCTACAAAAAACTCAATCTAGCTTTTGAAATAAAATTTCAGGAGGAAATAGTGCCACCGGGGCAATTGCTGGAGGGGTTGCTGCTGGTGCTGCTCTACTGTTTGCTGCTCCTGCAATAGCGTTTGCATGGTGGCGTCGCAGGAAACCACGAGAGTACTTCTTTGATGTGCCTGGTTAGTGGTCTAACTGAAAGTTGGATTAAATTTTAACATGTTATACAGTCCAATTATCTCATTTTTACATGTATCTGCAGCCGAAGAGGATCCAGAAGTTCATTTGGGGCAACTTAAAAGATTTTCTCTACGAGAATTACAAGTTGCAACAGATAGTTTTAGCAATAAAAATATTCTTGGTAGAGGTGGTTTTGGAAAGGTATATAAAGGACGCCTAGCAGATGGTTCGTTGGTGGCTGTGAAACGACTAAAGGAGGAGCGCACACCTGGTGGAGAGCTGCAATTTCAAACAGAGGTCGAGATGATTAGCATGGCTGTGCATCGAAATCTCCTCCGATTACGTGGCTTTTGTATGACACCAACCGAACGGCTGCTCGTTTATCCATATATGGCTAATGGAAGTGTTGCATCATGCTTGAGAGGTATTCTTGTTATAAAATTTCCAAGCATTTGTGGAAGCTTTCTTTTCATTCGTTTCACTAGGTCTGTTTTCTTCATTTCCATTGGCTGTACTGTTCCTGTGAGGGCTCATGTTTCAAACTACAATATGGTTTCATCGGCTGCACTATTGATATCATTCCTACACGTTTAATTCCGTTTCAGTATTTGTAGAATGCCATTTACAAAGCGGAAAGGCCTTGCCATCTTCAGTTATTCACTTGATTTTATTTGTGCAATTTTGTAGAACGCCCACCATCTGAACCGCCGCTTGATTGGCCTACACGGAAGCGAATCGCATTGGGATCTGCAAGAGGACTATCTTATTTGCATGATCATTGTGACCCAAAGATTATTCATCGTGATGTGAAAGCTGCAAATATTTTGTTGGATGAGGAGTTTGAGGCTGTTGTTGGAGACTTTGGGTTGGCTAAACTGATGGACTACAAGGATACACACGTCACTACTGCCGTACGTGGCACTATTGGACATATAGCTCCAGAGTACCTCTCCACTGGAAAATCTTCTGAGAAAACTGATGTTTTTGGATATGGGATTATGCTTCTGGAGCTAATTACAGGACAAAGGGCTTTTGATCTTGCTCGTCTTGCAAATGATGACGACGTCATGTTGCTTGATTGGGTATGCATTTACAATCTTCTTTATGTTTATTGGTATTGCTTATCTTCTGTCTATGTTGCAACTCCTTGGACTTTATTTGAGTTACACATTTTATGCTTTGTTTGGTTAGAGGGATGGAAAACAGATGAAAGGAAGAGGAGGTATTGGTATGCATCTCTTGGATACCATCCTTTTGTTTGTTTGAATAGAAGGGAAGGAAATGGATAATATCACTCTTTTACCAATCTACCCTTAAATATATGAATTAATATACTTGAATGAGGTTAACCAAGCTTCTCAACTTTATCCAACATATATCCTTTTTTTCTCTCTCCTCTTCCTCCTGGACAGAAACAAAATTGTGGGACAGGAGAGATGCCTCAACCATCCTCCCATCCTTCACCTCTTCCTCTACATGCTCCATCTCTCCTCCCCTTCTGTCCCTCCTACTAAACATAGGCTTAGTTTCTGTATCTACCAAGATTTTTTTCCTTTGTAGGCTGGATTGCAAAGCTGGATTCATCTTTCTTTAGATGGTTAAAGCATTGTAGACATCATCATATTCTTTCTGGCAGATGTTAAGAGCTAAAAGAGAGGAAGAATAATGTAATAGTACATGTTTTGGTTGGTTATATCTGTTCACTTCTGGAGCAGTTCTAATTTTAACTCTAGGAAAACTTCAACACAAGCTAGAATACTCTCCAAATGTTTTTTTTTTGGCATCTAGAAGGGTTTAAACCTCGTTTAGCCTGATGTGCCCACCACCTCAAGAGCACTCTCTTTTAGTCAAATAACTAATCAGCAATTATGAAAATAAGGCTCTCTATGTAGTATATTTACCAGTGCTCACCGCCTTGCTTGCCAGTACTGTCTACACCCAAGCTCCAGAATCTGACATAAATGTCCTATATTTCAGGTGAAAGGACTTTTGAAGGAGAAAAAATTAGAAATGCTAGTAGATCCTGATCTACAGAACAACTATGTAGAGGCTGAAGTGGCACAGCTAATCCAGGTTGCACTTCTCTGTACACAAGGCTCCCCAATGGATCGGCCCAAGATGTCTGAAGTGGTGAGAATGTTAGAGGGTGATGGCTTGGCAGAAAGATGGGATGAGTGGCAGAAGGGAGAAGTTCTCCGCCAGGAGGTGGAACTCGCTCCCCACCCAAATTCTGATTGGATTGTTGACTCAACGGAGAATCTACATGCAGTTGAATTATCAGGTCCAAGGTGACACCTCCATGGTTCAAGTAAAGAACGGAATTATAATGACCTTTATTTTTTCTCTTTTTTGTCATAAAAATTTGCCTTTTGCCTTTTTCTTTTTTCTTTTTTATTTTATTTATGTTTTTACCAAATACCCCCTTATGAGCTCTTGTAAGCCCATTGTGAGTTACATTCATTACATTTGTGCATATATGAAGTAGTATCAACGGGCAATTTTTACAATCCATGCTGCGATATTTACAGCAGAAATATCAGTGAAATTTGCTTAATTTTGTTGACATAGTGCAACAGCTTTTAAAGGCTAGAAGAGAATACTCTGATTATTAGAGAGGATATGTTCCACATAAACAGACTAGTAGACAGCCTCCCCGGCGGCACCCAAGTAAGAGGTGTAGTGGCAGCCCTAGCAGGGTTTTTGAATGTAGAGTCTACCGCGGCATACAGAGATGAACATGAAAAAGGATCCCGTTGAAGTGGTCATTCTTATGTTAGGGTTCCGTAAGGGCTGTGGTTCAATAGTCTTATGGTGTTTCGACTTCTTATGCCTGTGTTGGATCCATAATCCATGCAAGTGCTGTTTTATTGTAAATTTTATTTTATTTTATTGTATTTATTTATTATTTATTATTATTATTTTCGGGTCAAAACTCAGATTTAGTGCTTTCTGAAGTACTAGAGTGTATTTTGAAAGAGATGAACCTATGGATAACAGAAGAATCATTAAAAAATGCACTGATGGAGCTGAGTTCTGCTGAACTTCTGTTCTGTATCTTGTATGTATGATAGTTAGAGGCGTGGTACGCGCTATGAAGCTATGTTGTTGGGTTATTTCCAGAAAAAAAAAAAAAAAAAAATTGGTAGTCGATGGGTGGCAAATCTTAAATTACACAAACTACAATTTTGTATTTATTTGGGAAGAGTTGCATGGGTATCATGTACATAAAGGTTAGAAACATCCGCACATTGCTGTTATCCCTTCAACGGCATTCGTTGAATTTCATTAAATTACGCGTATTACTAACTTATTCCATCCAACCGGTGGCAAACGGGCGGGTTGGGTTAAGTTTGGATAAGGTCAAATATGAACGGGTTGAATATAGATTGTGACTCATATTGAACCCGCTTGTAACGGGTTAAATATGGGTTGGGTGAAAATGGGACGAGTCAACCCGTTATAATTCGCCAACCCATTTTAAGTAAAAAAAAATTATTATTTTTAAAAATCTCATTATTGTTATAAAATATTAATTAATATAAACAAAAATATCAAAACCAAGAACTTTGAGAGGAGACAGAATGTAGAGAGAACTCTCTTTATTTCCTTTTGCTTTTTCTATGCATCTTGAATACACACAAATACCCATATATATATATATATATAGCCATAAGCCAAATTTACAAAGCAAGTTAAGGAAATAACTTGCTTATATGTACTTAATGTGTTCACACCTACAACATTATATATATAATGAACCTGTACACATAATTTAAACTTGCGTACCAAATTCTCTCAATAGTGGGTCACGCTACTAATTCCATTTCTTCCAAATTTTCATAAATAGTGGACCCCACACCATATATATATATATATATATATATATATATAACAATTATTATAGTTTTTTATTTTAGATGGATAAAAGCTTGTAAAAATATGTATGTATAATTATAAATCCTCTAATTTATTTTGGAATTTCTTTAAATTTATAGAGTATTATTTTATTTTGTGACTAAACATGCATGAAGGTAAGATATTATATATATATATATATATATATATATATATATGAAATCATTTGTTAAGCTTTTTATAGAATAAATAATTAAATGAATAAATCGGGTAGTCCTACTTTGAAATATGGATGTAAACATAGGTTTCTTTCGAACCATAGTATTATATACACGAGGAGTCCATGATGCAGAGAGAATCTTAGAAAGAATTTTAGAGAGAGATAGTGGGAGAGAAAGAATTTGGAATCGTGTGAGAGGATTTTAGAAAGGAAGAGATAAATTTGAGTCAAATAGAGGTTGTGAAACGGGATTTTTTATATAATGGATGAAATATGAGTCAAAATGAATAACCTATATTTAACCCATTTAACCATTTATAAAAATGGTTTGAATATGGATCACTCATTTTGACCTATATTTTAAAATGATTCACCTATATCCATTTTAAAGCGAATGGATATGGACGGATTGATGAGTCATGACCCATTTTGCCATCCCTACATCCAACTAACCCCAAGATTCATTTCTTGAGTACTCTTCTTCACATGATCCAGCCGAATAAATGAGTGTTATTTAATTATTGGGTAATTTGCACAGACCTCCCATATGGTTTGCCCTAATTAAGCATCCTTTCCATTTCGGAAATTACGCGGACCTCCCCTATTTTTGAAAATATTCTACACGGACCTCCCTTATGTGTGACGGACCATTAAATACACTAATGGACCTTGCTAATTTACTGAAATGCCATTAATTTTATATGATAAATGACTGATATATAGAGAGAGAAAAAAAAAAAAAATAATAATAATAATAATCTTAAACTGTTTTGGGGCCGTCGCCGCCGCTATCTACATAAAAAACCACCATGGGCGCCACCGCCACCTCTACCGCCACCAACATCTCTGTTTTCCTCCATCTTTGTGTGTGTGTGTATATATATATATATATATATATATTTGTTGTGTATGCGTATATTATGTAAAGTTAGAAAGTGAAGAGAGAGAGAGAGAGTGTGCGTGAGGTGGAGGAAGAGGTTGCCGGAACGATTCGCCGGTGGGTGGAGGTCGCTGGGACAACAACATGAATTGGGTTTTCTTTGAGGTATGCACATATATATATATATATAATCCCGTTTCCCCCCCTTTAAATCTGTGAATGGTAATCCATGAGAAGTTCTTTGCCACAAATTTCAAAGAACAGAAAGCAGTAAAGTATAAAAATAAAATAATAAAAAATATATGTAAATCGACTAGATCGGCATTGAAATTGTTGGAGGAAGCCTAAAAGACGCCAATTTATTTTTGGAAAGGAAAATGACACGTCACCGAATGATTTTTCCGAATAAGTTCTCTGAAGTGTTTTTGTCCACCTTATTTACTTAAATAGTTTTTATAAAATAATTGTTTAACAAGTGATAAGTATAGTCAACCACGTTAAATTCGGTGTTAATTTGGAAATTCTTTTTCGGTTCCATATCATTGCTCTTTTGGAAATCATGAGTTAAAAAAATTTTGGGTTAGAATTGGTTGATTTCAATGGCTATTGTTTTGGTGGTGGGGATGGCGGCGACCCCTGTTTCCGTAGCTGAACAGATCTAAGCCTTTATTCTACACGAATAACCCCACACAAGGTGAACCACATATTTTCTCTCTCTTAGCAAAGCACCACAGATCGACAACCATTAATAATTCAATTGACCTCCATCACTGAAACGATTCCATAGCTGGACAGATCTAAGCCGGTCCGATTTGGTTGACAATTTCTCATTTTTCTTGTGTCCTGATTGCAACTATTGTTTATGGGTTTTTGAGATTGTTTGTTTATGGGTTTTTGAGATTGTTCATCATCATCAGGAGGTGTTTATGTTTGCTCAGAACATTCAGATTAATGTTATATATGTAAAGTTATGCAGTACACTGTCTGTGGGTTGACTAATAGGGTTATATATGTGTATTTTATATATATATATATTATCGAGGGTATTTTAAAAATTTTAGTAAAATTAGTAAATGACGTCATCATTTTTCCGTTGTTGACTGCCGTTGACTCTAACAGAAGGGAGGTCCGTATAGAATATTTTCAAAAGTAGTGGCGTAATTTCTGAAACAGGAAGAGTGCTCCCTGTAATTAGGGCAAATCATAGGAGAGGTCTGTGTAAATTACCCTTTAATTATTACATACAAATGTACCACATACATAAATATTTATACATACATAAATATATAGTATACATATATGTTGTACATTTAAGAGTAGCATTTGATCTAAAGAACACCACAAAATATAGATGTGAAATATATGGAAGGCCTCTATTTCCTGAAATAGATAAAGGTTATATATATATATTACATACTTCAAAAACATTGTGTATTTTGAACTGCCTAAAACTGCTCTGTATTACGGAAGAAATGAATAAATCTAACACCACATTTCATAAATATGTCTAAGAACTTCATTACCACATCGAAATCACTCACCGGAGAGCTAAAAAAACTTATGGAGAAGTCTCAGTGACTGGTAGATAGCCAACTCAAAGCTCATGGGTGGTCCGGATATCATCTGCTAATGGACGGACACCAGATTCCAAATTCGAGTCCTTTGATACGAACAAGTTTGGGTATGAGAAGAAAACTTCATTATCCATCGAATTCAACCGCTGAGGTTGGTGAAGTGTGGTATCATGTCCAAGAACATATTCACTGGAAATAGGAGAACCAGTTTCCACTTTGGGATTGGCATATGAAGGGTGATTTTCTTGACGAGGGCTTGGGGTATTTGAAGCATCACCGGAATCATCCCGGGAGTTCTGATGATCAAAATATGGGTTCTCCATTGCACCAGACTGACAAGGATCTGCATGGAACAAGTTCTCATCATCCTTTTTCTTGACAACTTCACTGATTCTAACCTGTGCAAGGTTAGCTGCAGAGCGAGCAGCAGTTGCCGCAAGTTCAGCCATTTCCGCAGCGGTCTGAGCAGCAGCCAATATATCCTGCAAATCTATATTGCCGTTAATTTTGATCCTTGGGATGGAGGGAGGAGGATCACTTTGTCTCGCAGAAAATGACTCAGAAGATAGTGGTGGAGGAGATATGAATGGCAAAAACTGTTTATCTTCCACCGGACCAACTGAAATATTCGGAGGTTCACATTCATTAGGCACCACCGTTTCCTTCTGCAACATTTTCGCAGGCTCTGTGTGTGATTCATGCGACAGATTCTCATTTGTTTCAGATTTTTTTGGTGATTCCTTATTGACCTCAGGCAGTGGAGGGAGAGGGAAAGGGAGCATTTCTAGTGCTGGGGCAGTACCCACACTTGGTTTTAGTGATTCCTTGGGAACTTCAGGAAAATCTGATGGGTTGAAGGCTGGATCGGAATCTGATTGTTTATTGGGGACTTGTTCCACGGCAGAGCACAATGATTCGTCTTGTTCCTCTTCGGAAAGGGGCAATTTAGGCCCACTGACAAACTGCGTTGGCCCGTTCTGGCAAGAAGATGACACAGATTAGGCACGAAGAGATAACTGGAACAAGGGCGGTGAAAAATATTACTTACCAGTAAGTCTTCATGTGGCTTCAAAAATTCAGTTTCAGAGGCAGCTGGATCCCAATCTAAGTCGTGCTCTTCTGCAATTTCCTTCAGCATCTTAAGTTTCACATCGGCAGCAGGAGCACGGACAGATAACAGTTCTACCAACTGCAATACAAAAAGAACAACAATGTCATTAAGGAGATATAGAAATAAATAAAGCAGCTAACCTCCCAATTTAATTACCCTATAAGATGAAAACTAATATAACCTGGCGATTGACACCACATTCTGGCATGAGCTCAGTTGCAGCTGATACAAATTCCTTCCCGTATTTGCTAGCTAATAGCATTTGAAACTGCAGCAACTCAGGCAGATCTGCACACCTTGGTGCGGCAAAACACACACTAGAAATCGCTTCTTTCAAGTCTAGAGGACATTCCCTGCATGGTGAAAAAAATCAATTTCAGAGGATGAAGCAACTCTTACTGAGCATTTAGAAGCTAAGTAGCAGTTCGTACAAAGGTCTAGAAAAATACAGAAATAACAATTTAGGCAAGTATCAGTAAATACGGTCTAAAAAAGAACAAAAGCCAATTTAGACAAATCAATAAACAGATCTATAATTTATGCATAGACCAAAAAATTAGTACCACATTTACTATAATAGTGGGAAAATTGACTGAAGTGACATAAGAATTTAGAGATGTCTAAAAGCTGAAATGACATAATATCATGTGGATAGTAGAGTAGCATAGCTACAATGTTATGACTAACTTCAAGACTAAGGGTGCAACTTGCACTAGTTGGGCAGGTTGAGAGATCAAATCAAGCCCAAGTCAAGATGTAGAACCCTCCATCCAAGCCCGAGCCCAACCCAGGTTGACAGGGTTAGCTCAGTTGATTAGGTTAGCTAGGTTGAAGTCATGCGGGTTGGGTTATCACCGCAGGCGAAAGCGAAGTATCACACCGCAGGCGAAAGCGAAGTATCTATCAATCAGAGTAGACGAAAGAATGAGGGGGGTCCTATTTCAAATTTAGGAAATGAAAGCTAGCTAGCTCCTGCATCATCTAGTGACATTGGGACGGTTTGCCCTTGGTGGCTCAATTTTCCCTGAATCTAACCCTTCTCAGGGGATTCCATCCACAGACCATGTGATATTTATAAACATTTCAACCAAACTCCTCATTTTTGAAGGCCGAAGGAGAATGTGGTGACCGAGCAGGGGCCTATTGATGAATGAAACCCAACCTGAATTGGGATCGGGTTGACAAAAATCAATCCAAGCAATGAAAAGTTAACCAAGTCCTTGTAGAGACCACCTTGGCCACCCAAGTTGCACCCCTATTCAGGACACCAACATCAACAAATAAGAGGCACATTTTGCATGAATAGCAAAAGACATATAAACTCTATGAACTGAGACAAAATAACAACAAAACATACTCTTATTAGGCTTATCATTTCCATTACCACTCCTTCATTGACATAGTGAGTTTAGTGAAATCTGTCAATAGTTTCCCCACTGCTGAAACCATTAGCAAATTTGTTCCAATTAAAACATAATTCATTCAAGAACCACAATTAGAAAATAACATCTACTTGATTCAGGTGGGGCAGCAGAGTTGGTGCTTTGCCCTACATTAGCTGTTTCATGGCACACTAGCCAGTACTTATTTATGGTAACTAAAATCCAAAATTTTTCACAAAATTCTAAGAGTTTGATCCACAAAGCCATAAGCCTAATTTACCCCATATAATTTCAGACCAAAAACCCTAATTTTTTCCTCGCAGTCCAGAATTCCTACAACCTGTTTCCTACAATTTTATACCACTCCAACTTCAACCAGTTTCCATTATTTTTTATACCACAATCAACCTAAAACCCCAACCAATTTAAACCTAAAGCCATTTCCACCTTTTTAATTGTACAACCGAAAAACCAAAGCCCTACTCTCCACATTCAATTTTATGGAAGAATTCACCATTCATTTAATAAATTGTCCTACACCGCTGCATTGTGTTAATCAATGGTTCCTCATGTCTCATTACAGACATCTGTTTCCATCCATAATAGCACCCATAAATTCAACAGTTGCAGTCCCAGAATTTCCAGCAATATTTTCTGATCCATATCTTACACCAGTTAATACAAGAAAATTTTAAATGAGAGATATGAAGAATCAAACATTTAACACAATAAGGCTTTAAAATAGAATTATATAGCCAGCAACATTCCTAGCAAATTCTTTCAAGCCCAAATCTGGCTTTGCCAAAATTTCCAAATTATGTCCAAGTTTGGTTACTTGATTTTTTTGCATTCCTAAAACTTCCATTGAATCTTAAAACAGAACTTCTTCTTTGAACTTTCACTCAACTTATTCATAAATTCAAATGACTCCTTGTCCAAAAAATTTACACAAACTTTCACATTAACCATATTAGTCACATAAGTGACAATTGTATACCATAGTTTTGAATGAGATTTCACAATTAATTTGCTATTTAAAGAGAACAGTAAATATATATAAATATATTAAAGCAAAGAATTTCACTCGGAAGTACCTTTGTGTTTCAATTATGAGAAGGCGGGCAGTAATAAGCTCACAGAATAGCTCAATGATCTCCTGTGCAGCTATCATTTTCTCTTCCCTTATAATATGCTCAACCTGAACAACAAATACCAAAAGAACATAACTACCAGGATACAAACATCATCGATACAATCCTTTTTATAACTCACCCATAATTCTGTAAAGGCATCAAGCTCATGCCTCAGAGAATTCATATCCACATTAACTCATATACTAAGAACTACACTGGTTTTTACCCGAATTCGAGCAGTGGCTTCTTGACCCGTCTCAAGGAGCTTGGCAATGTCACGGCGCATCTGCTTTATCTGAATCTCTCTCCTGTTCCTTAGTAACTTTATGCGCGGAATGGTCAGTTTTAGTAGTGTTTTGCTGTATGAAAGGAGAAAAATTACATAACTAATGTTATAATTCCCCAAGTTTCAGAACATTGAGTTGCACATGAAAGTATTGTCACTTATAGGAGTGTATGTATGTAATAATACAGACATCATTTAGATATAACTACATTCATACATAACAAAAAAAAAAAAATTCAGAACTCACAAAAAAAAAAATTCTACAAATTTAGGTGAAACTTTGAACTAAATTTTCATTAGGTACTCCCAATGTAATTTATCATAAGAAGAACCATCAACATGTACCTTCAAAAGCGTAAGTGTGTGTGTCAATGTGTGTGTGTTCGTGCACGTATGGAACTGCATTTCAATCACAACTAAGCTTATGAAATTCTGTGTTTAAACAAAGTGCATGAAAGCAAAATCGGAGCAAAAATGAAATTAGTAAAGAATTAAAAAAAAACAGTTTATCCAGTTCCATCTGTTTGGTTGTTGAGAAACTGAGGGAAAACAATAGGAATTGGAGAACTGCAACAAAGAAAAGTACCAAAATTGCGCGCACTCATATTTATTTTGAAATACTAATATTTTATCAGCAACCAGAAAGTGAAAAAATTTCTTGCTGAAGACAGAAAGATCGAATTTCGAGAAAATTATACAAACCATCTCGCCGCTTTGAAGCCCTGGTTGAAGAAAGAATTGAGCATCGACATGGCCGATTCTCTCCAAAGCTCAGATCAGAATTCCTAACAGAAACAGTAATTCAAATAACGATATGAATGAATATGTATATGATTATATATATATATATATATATATATATATATAATACCACAGATATTTTTTATTTGTTACATCTATTTCGCTGAAAGTGATCAAAGCCGTGTGCAGAGCGTAGAGCACATCCTTTAAGCGAAATGACCTGTCGTGTCTGATGACTCATCAATGGAATGTTCTGAAATATTTTAGGGTTAATTACAATAATACCATTGAGGTTTGGTCAAATCTCACATGTAGACAGATTATGAAAATAACTTTCACTCATACCCAAAATTATTTTTCCCACCATTAAAGAAATGTGGATGAACAATTTTACCCTCATTTCTTTATTACATTTTAATACAAAATATCATATAACTAAAATGACTGAACTACCCTAATCAATCTATATACACACATATATATAAAAAAGAAATGAACATTATTCGAATGTAAAAAATGTGAGTTGCACGCTGCGGCATATATCAAGACGTCATTTAGTCTTTTGGTATGTATGGAGCGTCAAATATTTACCAAATAAATACTATGTCAATTAGATTATCATCAATAATAATAATAAAATAACAAAAAAGAAAGAATTTTTGAGAAAAGGAAAAATTGAAAGATAAATGATGATAATATACCTACAAAAAAAAAAGAATAATAATATTAGACATACATTTGTTTATATAAATACACACACATTGATGTGTTCCTTAAATCTTCATCATACTATGCATATAAATATGTATTTGTGTGTAAAAATGCAAGCGCATTCGTGTTTAAAAAATTGAGTTGTTTGAAAAATTATTCTGCTTGACTAGACTACACATCAACCCAGCCAAACATGATTAATTTTAGGCTCACTCTCTTTAAGTTAAGGTTGGGTTCAACTTCTAACGGGGCGGGCTTGGGTTAAGATTAACCCTTCAATCAACTAAACTTGCCCGAGTTGTATTCCTAACTAAACTATATCATTTTGCTTAATTTTCTTTACAATTGAGCCACCCATTAATTATATATATATATATATATATATATATATATATATGTATGTATATATAGGGTAAATTGCATAAAATGGTAGTGTGCGACTAGAGAGATGATGATAATGGTGGAGATGAGTTGAGCAAAGACGAAGAAAGAGTAAGAGATGCCAAAGAAATGAGAGGGTCTTAGAAGAATTATTGATTCTTTGTTCGCTCTTTTATTATATTTTCATATTTATACGTACACACATATATATACATAGGTTAGGGTTTTAAGTTTCGGAAGATATAAGTGTGTGTGAGTACTTAGAAAAAAAAAAAATTGGATAGTTCAGGGTTTTTTTTTACCAAATTAATAATTTATGGGGTATTTTGCAAAACTGTGTTAGTTTAGGGAAGTTTGTTGCATTTTTTTGAATTTTCTGTTTTTATGAGGGCACGTAGTTAATTTTACAGTGCCATTAATGGCTGACTCAAGAGTGGGTGTTATTTGCAAATGGTAGATAGATCAAGAGTTTTTTTCGCAAAAGTGTAGGTGAGACTTTTTCTTTTTTTTTTTTGGATTTTACCCATTAAATTTCAATAATGGAAGAGGGACCACCATGGCTTCATAATAATTATGCATATGAAGAAAAAAAAGTCAGAAAATTATTATTTATTGGAAGATAATATTCATTAAAAAATAAAAATATAATTTATAAGTTAGTACTTCCTAAAATACTATATGAGTGGGTTTTTTAAAGACAATTATGTCATTTAATTTGTTTAATTAATTGAGATAAACCAAATCACACGTGAACCCCGCACGAGCTGCCCTTCCGGCCGGTCAGGCACTGGCCAGGCAAGTTTGGGACTATTTAAAGTATGTGTGTGTATCAGTGTGTGTCTTCTTATACGTCATGTCGAAATGGGTAATTTAACGTAACGCTTAATCAATGAACTGCAATGATTCCAATTTTAGAAAAATAATGTGTGGTTTATGTGTATGAATTTGGAAAAAAAAAAAATGATATACAAATGAAGGATTTGTACCCACTCTTTCACCAAAAAAAAAACAGTGGACCTCACAATAAGCGTGATGGACCGCACCTCTCTTGTGAAAGATTCCCAGAAACACAAGCCTTATATATATATATATATAGCATTTGTTTGTATAATTGGAAAATGTGATTTTCCTGATTTCCTAATTAATAAATCATTCTCTGTAAAGCTCTCAAATATAACAACATAATGCAGAAGACCTTTGCCTCTACCTTTCTTTGCTTGCTTTTACTCCATCTCATTGGCTCTGGTATGTTTTCTTCTCCATCATAGATAAATTAGTTCTTTATTTATTTATTTATTTTATTTTGACTAATTTTCTACTCAAATTTGTACCCAATTCAATTAGATTTATCAATCTGGAAAATTCTAGATTTTGAATTACAAAATGACAGTAGTTAAAGAATTATATGCATATGTTCAATGCATGTATACCAAATTAATAAGAGCAACTATGAAGGTTTTACTCATATATTTTTTTTTTAAAAAAAAGTCAGGTTTTAAATGGGGATCAATTCCTACATTGTTTTCAGAAAAATGCTAATACTTAATACGGTTTTCGCTAATTAAAGATGCCAAAGAGTTCAATTGGTTGCCCTAGATTTGAATCTATTTGATAGTGGGACTTTTATCACCCGAACAAAGATTAATAAATTAATATATTTCTCGCTAATCAAAGATGCTTAAAGAAATGCATTGAGTTCAATTGATTGCCCGAACCCATTTGATAGTCAAACTTTTATCACTCTAACAAAGATAAATACTTAATATACTTTTCGCTAATCAAAGACGCCGAAAGAAATGCACAGAATTCAAGAGTTCAATTGGTTGCCCTAGACTCGAACTCTTTTGATAGTCAGACTCTTACCACTTTGACAAGATTCAATTATAAATTTTAACAATCAACTTTATAAAATACATAATTTTGGTGTGAGTAAGAAAGTTCGGAAATTCGAAAAAGCTGCTCGATCATTTAGACATTTAAACAACCACTTGAAAAGACCATTTGAGAAATATTTCTAAACTTGCAAATTTGCAATATTGATTTTCATTCACTAATTACAAATTTAGTGAAATCTAAAGGCCACCACATGGATTAATTAGGGCTTTCATAGTTTGGTATAATTAATTTAAATGACTCAATTATTATCACATCAATCAATAATAAAAATCGATCGGGACTTTTATCATTTTTCTTATTTGTTTTGATGCGGTAGGTGTGACGTCGGATGAGGAGGAGGAGGGATGCCTGCAGATGAAGTGCGGTATGTATATAGAAATGGAAAACTGCAGTATTGGCAGGTGCTTAAACGAATGCGTTCTCAAGTGGGGAAACCAGGTCCCCATTTGGTATGGGCAGTGTGTCCATGAACACAAAACATGCCTTTGCGTTTATAAGTGCTGTCTTTAGTACTTCTTAGCATGTTTCGATGCTTGCATCGAAACAAGAAGAAGTTCGGTAAGACATTTTTAATGTAGAACATGTAATTTTCCATATATATATATTTTTTACCATTTTTTTCATTTTGTTTTCCGGTGTTAGGCTTATTCTTAGGTATTTGGCTTCTAAAAGTGTTTTCGTGTTAAAATTTACCTTGTTTTATCTATACCATTCTTCCATAATTTGTTTGCGTAATGTGTATAGGGCTTGTTTGGGTTGTCATTGAAAAAATAAAAGTTAAAAAATCGAGAAAACATAAAATTGTTTTTAAAAATTATAAAAGAAAATTTTCTGAAAGCAGACATTTTTTTAACTGAGTTTTTAAAAAATAATTTTCAGAATCTATAAAATTGTTCGCAAAGCTGAACCATGCATACCCTTTTATTGTACTAGAATTATCAAATGTCATATTATGTGCAGCAATAACCATATTCTTCTATTGTATCACAAGCTTCTCAACCTTTTATAGTATAATAAAAGAGAATTTTTTTAAAGCAGACATTTTTTTAACTGAGTTTTTAGAAAATAATTTCAGAAACGATCAACTAAGTAGATTTTTACGTAAAATTATTCGCAAAGCTGAACAAAGCAGACCCTTTTATTGCACTAGGATTATCAATGTCATATTATGTGCAGCAATAACCATTATCTTCTATTGTATCACAAGCTTCTCTACCTTTTCTATTTTTTGGCTTCTTTTCTCCTACAAAACAACTCTTACCATACACAACACACAAAACAACATCATTTGAATCAATATGTCCACTACTGAGGAAATAATACTTCCTCCGACGAATCAAGAAACTTTCCTATAACCATATATATATATGAGCATAGTAGCATTGAACTTGTACGTAGGTATTCAAATTGATTTGGGCATATCCATATCGAGAAGAGTATTCAAATTGATTTGGGCATATCCATATCGAGAAGAGTAATGATATGGAGTCCGATAGTTGAATTTGATGTCACCATAATGTTAGAAATATTAATGAGATCACGATGATGACGTCAATCCCTACTCACATAAATAAATCGAAGTTGTCATTGCCGACCTGAACTCAATAAATTAAGAGGAGCTCATGGGAGTCCTACGATTTCCAAGCCAAAAGTCTATTCCTTTCGGTTTGTCATTAAGTTCAACTCAAAAATCAAAGTATGAGCCGAGCAACAGTAAAGAGAATCAAAATGAATAGCAAATGATATCAAAGTTATATTATTAAAATGCATACATTTATGTATCTAGTATATATAAATACACACACACACCACAAATAAAGAAATTACAGGGAGTAAAGTATGGCGGAAAAGGAAAATATTTATGTTCTGAAATAATTTACCAGTAAGAGCAATTGGCAGAGTAGTTAGTCTGTCTTTTAAAATCACTCTTTCTGTGTCTCACTTCATATGCTTGTCTCTAGTTCTCTGAATTGCCCTTGAACTCTACTTCATTGTATAGTTCTAAAGAAGAAATTAAGAATTAAGAGCAAAAGCCACAATCTGTGTCCAGTTTGCATGTGTAAATGTTTCAAATGCAACCATGTCCAAATGATGCATTTGAAGACAAGGAAATGAATATTCTAGCTATCGAATAAAAACTTGAAGCAGACGTGTGTGTGTGTGTGAGAGAGAGAGAGAGAGTAATGACTATTTTGTTCATTTTTTGAAATTTACAATTAATTATAAATCATATATACAACATTTTCTTTTGGGAACAAATAAGGTATGGAATGTTGTACCTCCAATAAGAAACAGACAACTCCAAATAATCTCTGGCATTGTCTACTTTGCTTCATCGTCATCAGTAGCAAGCTCAAGGCCCTCAGCAGCCAGAAGCCGGCTGATAATCTTTTTCTTTTCTTCTTCTGCTTTTTTCCGCATTAAATCCCTTTTCCTTAAGACAAGTGTATGCCGCTTAAGGGTGTTATTGAAATTCTCCAAAGAAGCCTTCTTTTCTTTCGCCAGGATCCTTCTCTCTTCGTCAGGATCAATCTGAAATTCCATGAGAGAACATAAATGTCCATGGAAATACGGGTGAAACTTAAAAAGTATGATCAAAGCTGCCAGATGAAGTGTGTGCAATGTCGGTCTCCTCCATAATTTAACATTGAGAAGACATAAATCAACGTACCAAAAAGTATCATCTTAATAAACAAACAGATGAATTTTGTCACAAAATATATATATATATATATATATTTATATAACTTTTATACAGTATTGTTCAGGACAACAAGGACAATATTACTTTCCTCATTCCTCCTACAATGCAGCATGAAATATCCACAACCCCTCCCCCCAATGGTGCCTAACGGGATAAGAAAGACGTGGGGTTGGTTTCATGTTGAATCATAAAAATATACTTGAAGTATCTGAAAGATTTTTAGACAACTAATTTGAAATACGGGCTACTTATCCTCATTTCCATTACAATGCAGCATTAAATATCCACAATCCCTCCCCCCAATGGTGCCTAACGGGAAAAGAAACGAGGGGGTTGGTTTCATTTTGAATCATGAAAATATACTTGAAGTATCTGAAATATTTTTAGACAACTAATTTTAAATACTAAAAGCTTGCATGTTTAATTTGAATAGTTTGTTACATAAATATAGCAATCCACAAGCATCAGTTCACTCTGATGGAAAATAAAAATATGATGTATAACCTTTTGACAAAATTGAAACTAGGTAAATGGCTCTCTAGGTGACCATTAGGGACTTCCTGAGCTTAATTTGAGTCACTATAGAAAGATTAAGACTGAAGAATGATTCAATACCTTTGAACGAGAAAGACGACGAACACGGAGATTCAACTCTCGCTGCTGCTGCTCAGCCCAAGCTGCAATGGCCATATCCCCCCGCTGATCAAACGCTTTTCGCTTTTTCATAAGCCACTCCATCCATGCTTGAGATGCCTGTCAAAATAATGATATCAGAACATATATAAATTATCAGAATGAGGAATTAAGAAAAGACAAATTGCCTCATTCACTTCAAGAGAATTTTCTATACAACTAAAATTTTCTTTCCGTAAAGATAAAGCAATTGAGAACCTAGAAGTCTATGGATGTGTTAATCCAATAATTGGGAAACCAGTACTTCATGTTATCATGCAATTTGCAAATGAACAAACTTCATACGACACATCCAAGTTCTACAAGGACAAGCCAGGAACAGGTGGTTCTGCAGACACTATTCAGTGTGTACCACGTCATTTTCCTATGGTACCAGACTAACAGGCACATTGCACAGATGCAGGAAAAAATTTCACCGATTTAAAAAATAAATAAATAAATGATTCCAGAATCAGGAAAAACTTCAAATCAGAAAATTCTTTGCTTCTATTTTTTTTTTTTTTTTAATATTAACTTCTAATTTTAAAGGTTGCTTACAGAACACAAATATCTATTCCTCTTATACCCGATTATTATACCAGTCAAAATTGAGATCTTCTTTTAGTTTAAAAATTTTAAGAGTTCCTTTTGATTTGTAGCAACTTGTAACCGATATGGATGGCCACCAACGACGTGGCATTTATGCTTTAAAATACCAAGGTGTGTGGATCATTTTTCTTGCAGTAAATTGAGGCATTGAAGAAAAATTCATATAGAAAATGTGTATTTAAGTATCCATGGTTTTGTTGATAAGCCTGATAATTCAAAGCATCTTAGTCAAGAACCATAATTCCAAGACCTTGAAGAAAGATCCAGTGCATCTGCAGCAAAGCCCCAAGAAGTGAGAGGGTTATACAAAAAACTGCTGCAGGGCCTTGAATCAATAAAAATGTACACTACAACAATATTCAGAAGAGACAAACATCAAGAACTTGACAGAACACCTCCTCCCATATTAGAACTGACATCCTTATATTTTTCTTTGAGGCAAAAATAGAAGTATATCTGGGCACAAAAGGGAGAAAAAATACTACAAGCCATCCAGATCATTAACAATACCATAACCAGGAATCATGAGAAAATTTAGATATATGAAATGAAAACATGCTCTATTTGACTTTACAGGGGGGCACAAGAAGGAAAAGGCAAAGATATACCCCTCAGACTATTAACTATACAATAAGACTGGTGAGAAACCTTCTTATCCAACATATTATAAGATTTTCTGTCTGGCTACACAAGCAGACTCGACACAAATCTATTCCAAAAATATCATTAGTTTTGCTGCTTGTAATTTTTGTGTTGGTTGTTTTTTAGCTGAGAAGCAGAGATATTTCTATAAAGGTGCTCTGTTGGTATACAGAATCTGTCAAAAACTGACACTTCACAGATACTCTACTTTAAAGACACCCATGGTCATGGATGTGTGTATAATTTCAAAAAAAAAATCACTATTTTGGACACTTGACCATCGCATCCCTGACACTTCAGCAAATGCTTATGTAGTACAAAGACATTATGTTACATGGACTCTTCAAAAGTAGTGAAGAACCTGTGTCGGACACATATTACTCTGACCCATGTTTGAGTAATATGTGTCTGACACTTTTGGTTGGACGTGTACTTAAAAAACATATCCAATTATTCAATTTTAGTATATTACTACTTTAAAATGTATAGAACACTATGTTACATAAAAACATTACTTTACTCTAGAAAATAAAATGAAATGAATATTTAGCAGTGTCCATGTGTCTTTCTGTTTAGAGATTTGACATGTACGACACATGGATACATCCCGTACCTGACGCACACACCCGAGTGCATGTAATATAGCAAAGACATCTTAAAAGAGCAAAGTCTGATAATCTTGAAAACAAGATAAACAAACCTAACCCAAGCTTTCTTCTTGTAAAGACAATTTGACATTGTAAACATGGCCAATAAAAGTCAACATAAAATAAAAATAAATTATTATGGCAGAAAGACAACAGGAGAGTATTGGTGAGATATATAATATAATAATCTTTATGATATTTATGTAGCTTCATCTTTCACATTACTCAAAGTTTTATATTATCTCATCTAAATTATCTAATATATGCATAAAAGTAAAAAATCACTTATATATCACCGTGTCTACTCTATGTCCATATCCACCTTAAAAGATTTGCTTACATATCTGCACGCACAAAGCCATGATGCTCCCACTGAACTTTATTTATTTATTTATATTACTGGCCTAAAATTTTGTCAAAATTCTAATAATGCCCCCCCTAACAAAACCCCTTATACATACTTCCCCCCTAAATTGCCACAATAATCTCCTCTATCTTCCCCTCTAAACTTCACAAAATTGACTTATCTACTTTTGAAACTCTCACTAAACCCATAACTCTCTTTCCTTCTCTCTCCAACATTTTCTCTTTAAAATATATCTCATTCTTTATATGTCTCATGGCTTTTCAAATCAGAGATTTAGAGAGTGATGAAGAGTTTTCTCTTTCTCTCTCTTCTTGTTCTCTCTCCTCTCTTTTTTACAGTTTTGTGCAACTTCAAGTGCTATGTTTTTAACGATTCAAACTTTGTATGAAAATATCAATCAAGTTAAAGTTCTTTTGTTGATTACAATAGTATGATTTTTTTTTTCTTTATTTTGTTACCGTTCAAGACCGCTCCCTCTTGAATTATTTTCTGGCTCAGTCACTGCATATCTGTTTCATTCTGTGTCCTTTTCCTGACTATCAAACCGTACTTTTTTTTGCCACAAAACACAACTAAAAATAAGTTTCCAAACTAAAGAGCTTCTAGCCCCTGTCGAACCATTACAGTAAACAAGTACTAAGTGATGTTGCAGAAGCCTAGATGTCATGCACTTTTTTTCCTCCTTTGCTTTTCATACAAAGTCAGGTATTTTTAATAAGTAGACACAAAGAGCTACATGTCTCACAAATAGTTACAAAAATTCCTCGGTTTTTGCCTGACAAAGGTCAAAACTCAAAATTTTCATATAAGATAAGCTACGAATTGATCGTAAACATAAAATTACCTTCATCGGGTTGACTCGATTATTGTAATCATATTGTTTCCTTTTCTCCTTATCTATGAGCAATTCATAGGCAGCTTGAATCTTAATAAATCGAGCTTCAGCTGTTTCCCCTTCCTCAAGGGTCCCTCTACCATTATAGACTTCAATAAGAAAAAAGAATAAATCAGTTCCAAGTTCAAGACCAGACGGAAACTTGTGGACACTGTATGTTATAGAAAATGATGGTAACACCAAGGGATGAGATTTCAAAGACTAAAGGTGAATGGACAATATTTGGCACACTGAACAAACTGCCATATCAAAACAAACAGTGCAACTTTACAGCAACGCATCAATCTCCAACGTTATTAGAATCCAAAAGAAAGACATGTAACACAAGCTACATCCTGATTTTTGACCTATCCTAGAACAGCAATTCTTATGTAAAAAAAAAAAAAAAAAACCAACAATGCTACATCTCTTTTAAAATCTCCCAAAAGCGGGCTCTTCATCAGTGCAATTTAACAAATGGCCTACAATTAGATGGACCCATAAATTATATGCTATATGCACGGTCAGATGACTAATGAACAACAAATTTTATGGACTTCGTCCAGCACTTTATCTACAGATTATTCGTCCTAAAATAATAAACATGAGGCAGTTGGTAATCATTTGATCACTCTAAGATTACCATACACATCTTTATCTGATTATCTTGTGTAAAGTCCATTTTATTCATGTCGTAATCACTATTCTAGAAAACCAAACATACAAGATAAAAGGTTTTTTAAGGATTTAGTACAGAATCTAATGGTACCGTTTTTTTTATCAATGCTTTTGAATAAAAGAAAAACTATAAATATACTCCTGCATCAAAACCATATGACAGTGTGGGGTTAAGGCAGTATCTCTGGATGGACCAAACAAGACCTAACTGTAAAGGTCATAGTTGGTCAGGATCAAATACCCAATTGATTGAGCATTGAAGTAAACCCCTACCCCTACTCGTGCTAGAGGGTGCAAATAGAGGGCCTGCATTTACTAGTTTGTGTCTAGCTACATCATCTCCAGCTTTTTCAGGGCTTAACAGCAGGGATACCAACATAAATCATATAGATTTAATTATATAATATCAACATAAACAAATTATATTAAAGTGCATAATATATTTCCTGTATTGGTACTGTTTACATTTAGATTAAAAATAACACAATACCATATGTCCAAAATATTGCCACTTAGAGAGACAGATTTGCACCATTATTACTACTGTACTAGACTCAAACACCTAAAACTAAAACCAATATTCCTCTACCTTAATTTAAAAATAATTATTCCTCTACCTTAATTTAAAAATAGTTATATATCAAGAAATTTACTTGGTAGCTAAACAAAAAAGAATAATAATAATAATTATCCAAATATGAAGCATGGCTATATGTTCCTACTTAGAATGGGCCTAACAGCCCAGGTGGTTAACCTATAAAACAAAGGACATCAAAACCTTGAACATATATTTTATATGAACTATAACACTTTAAAACATATGAGGATCAAGATAAAGAGCAAACCATCTGGGTGATAGAACTTGGCCAAACGTCTATAGGCTAACTTTATTTTCTCATCATCAGCATCTCCTTCCAATTCTGCATTCGAAAATAAAATTGCATTAAATATCGTAAATTATTCATCACTTCATAATAAAATGAGATACAAGAGGTAATATGAAAAACATGTCTTGTTCTCCATCAAGAGGAGAACATGAAGAACATAAAGAACAAAAGGTTTTACTAATGCATCAGAAAGAGGCATGCATGCATGTGATATTCAAAATTCAATTTTGATAGAGAACTTATCCTGCTCAGAAAGTAAATTCTAACAGCCCAACAGGAAATCCTGAAGAGAATTTCAATCTACCACAACTTTTGAAGTCTTCTTCAGAAATATAGAAATGAATAAAGAAAAGGGCAAATAAGTCACAAAGAGAAAATTCAAGACACATAATTCGTAGAGGTTTTATTGACGCCCTAAACTACTTTTAAAGACACAAATAATGCACAACGTTTTTTGGTCTTTTATTGTTTGAAAGTATTCCTTGGAACTTAAGTTTGAGAGCATAAACTAAGCTCTATTACATGGACTCCCCTATTTCCCCTTCAAGTACCCGTGTCAACATGACACGACAAAATACGACGTGGGTACAAGTACGGGATATGTGAGCGACACATGAACACAAATTGGACAACCCAATCCTTCACATGACATAAAGAAGAAAAAATTCAAATTTAATACCAAAATGAATTTCCTATCTATTAGATATATCAAAAAGGGAAAATTCAAATTTAATAGCAAAATAAATTTCCTATCTATTAGATAGATCAAAACCCTTTTCTTTAACCAAATTCCATTTAATTTGGGTAATAATTGAAAATATCCTTATAAAACAAGCTTAAACATTACAACATAATAAAGTATATATGTATTTAAATGCTAGTATGTGTTTGCATACCCCTATCCAACTTTTGGATACATATCCCCGTATCCCAAGATTTGGGATTCGAGGAGCTTACCCAAGTCCATATAACATAGAAACTAAGTAATTAAGGGTTGAGTGCAATGCTTACACTAATTGATGCCTTGAAAAACTTTAAAAGGAAGTCTACCATTCATCTACACATAGGCAACTTCTATTTATTTTTACTATTTAACCATGAACAACGTTAAGTTTCCTTCAGTAATATGAACAGACAAAAGTCACAAAACCAGCCAAACTCATAAATTTGATTAGATGATGATGCCAAATAGTATCTGAAAAATAGAATTGCTAATTATATCTTATCTTATTGATTTTCAAACTATTTCTATTATGTGGTATAAATATGTAACCTTTTAGTATCAGCTAAAAAACACACTAGTAATATTAGAAATAATAAAGACATTCTCATCTAAAATAGAGTACACGTAAGATTGTGTGCGGAGATATGTATCTACATGTCAGATTTATCATATCCCCAGACCCAAAGACAAAGAGATATAGCTAAATTTACATATTTAATATTGCTTTTTTAAGTTATAGGATAGATGGTGCTTTGGGCAACCAAAAGTGTTTAACGTTAGTGCATAATTCATTTTAAATAAATCATGTAAAAGAAAAAGGAGTATAATAAATGACTTTTATGTAAAAGTATATAATAAATTTTACTTTCTAAGTGCATAACTAACTAGTGTATCGGACATATATATATTATACTCATACCCAAGTTTCATGTGCTGCACACAGGTACTTAGTCCATGTAACATAGACTGATATGCACACTACCAAGGCGTCACAACCCACTTTGGGAGGCACAGACATGATGCATGCCCCATCAGTCTGTCACTACTCTCAAGAGTTGGGTCTGCCTAGTTTTTATTTTTGTAAAACCCTATAATGCACAGTATTAAATTTATATGAAATACCCAATTTCTAGTGAACCTAGTGAATATGCAGCTAAGGGTAGAAAAACATTATCCAATTGATGTGGAGTATTAGATTTTAAATCCTATCAAAAAGTAGACAACTGCATTATTACCTTCTTGACAACATGCCATTACTTTGCTTAAAGCTACAAAGTTCTTCTCATTAAACCAATGGAAAAAGATAAAATAACTCCTAACATCATGTAGGAAACCTCTCCAAAGCATCATTTTCACCACTATTTTTACTTAAATTCAAACCATGACCGGAAAATTGAAATGGACTCAAAAACTAAAATTTAGATAATATATATAAAATAAAAAAATAATAATAATAAAAAAATAAAACAAATTTAGTAGATAAACTTGCTTGGGAAAGATAAGTCTATAAAGCATAGAGATGGGGGCATGCCGCTTCAATCAAGACAATCAAAATATTATTTGTTGAAAGAAAAAAAAAATGACCTTAACTTCTTTTATGATGATATTTAAAAATCATTTCACTCCGATAAAATTTCACCACACAAAAAATCACATACCTATAAAACGAAAAGATTAATAATTTGAAATCTGTAATTGAAACTAGACAAGAGATAATAGAATTAGCAACCACAGTGGCAACAACCCATGCAACAAATATCAAGATTTGTATATCCCAACTAAAGTTCATCAGACATCCCCACAAACATCCAGTCTTTAAAGCTATACAAATCTTTATCAATCAAGTCTACATCAACTATCAATGAAGTCTACTGCAAATAAAAATAAATAGAAAAAATAAAAAAGTTTGAATTTATTTCCCTCAGAGAAAATTCATCGTAAGCCAAACATAAGGCCAAATTGGAAAAGTAAATGCATAAACACATACTAATATACATGCATATGAATATATATATATATATATATATACACATATATGCTAATTACCGAGAGTTTCGTAGGGAGACTTCTCATCCGTCCATTTTGAAGCCCGAGCAACTGTCCTCCTCTGGCTCAATCGAACCCACGGCTCTACCCTGCCGAGGTCCGACAACTCCAACCAAGAAGCCGAAGACAGGCGAGGTTTGGTGTTGGGATTTCGGAACGAAACCCTAATAACGGATTGCGATCGATATCGAGCTCTGTCTCTGCAACAACATATGATTGAAGAGAACACCGTGTTGGGACGACAAATTGTTCTCAAATTGCTCATTTTTCTTACCGTTTGGAGCCCCAAATCACTCGCTGGAATCGGAGAAACTCTTTCGGTTTGTAATCTGATGAAAGATTGAAAGACGTGAAGGAAGTGAACATCGAGTTTTGATAATTGAAAATGCGAAATTTTTCTTTGAATGTGACTATATTTCAGTTTTTATTTTTTCTTTTTATTTTTATTATTATTATTATTTTTTCATTTACTACGATTTTTGAAGAAACAAACAAAAACCCCGCAAATTAAGTTTGTTGACGGTTTGGTTGGCTGCCGCTCGACGGTTGGAAAATGTTGTTTTACCATTATGTCCATCCTGTATCACACAATTACGAAAATGGTATGGAAAAAAAGAAAAAGAAATAACTTTTGTGTGTGCGTGTGAGATGGTTCAATCGTGGTTATTGGAAATTTAGTTAAAAAATATAAATCAGAGAATTTTCTAATAAAAGTTATAAAATCTTGTTTGAAAAATGTTCCTTCATTGTAGAATTAATGCATAATACATCAAGTTCAGGAATCAGGATGGTTATCAAAAATTCAGTTACAAAAAAATATATATATATCTACAAATTTGCTATTTTGTTTTTATTATAGTTTTTTTTCCGTGATTTTTAGTTGTCCAGGTAATCTTTGGTTAACATTTTGAATGTACCTTTAAAGCTTTAAACAGCCACAAGAAGTAAGAAAACTACTCTCAAAATATAGTTAATAAAAAAAAAATAGTTTGTAAGAAATTTATGCTAGAGTTGAATTTGAGTGTTAATCATTAGAGGCCATCGTACGTGAATGGAAAGTGAAATGAGTATAAATGGATGAATATGTAATACTATTTAACAATTTAAGCTTTCGGGTTAGAAGGTAACACTCCACTGATCAAAATTAATATTAGAGTCAGATGATCAAGTGGCACGTTAAACGCCACGTCCGAAACTACCCGAAACTATCTAAATTTGTGCCAAAATTGTCTAAATTTGTCATCCCGGCAGACAGGATGGCCCAACCCCAAGAGGGAGTGAATGATATTATGAAGTTGTTGAGCAACCTCCAATTCTTAAGACAGAAGATCTAATGTTCACCATTTGACATGAAAAATTGACGGTTGTATTTCCTACTTATCACATGCACACAGCACATCACATACACACAGCACACAAGTCAACTCAAGAAAGCAAGCTGCAAAAATTGTGAAAACAATGTTTTTTACAACAACTTTGGATACCTTTCAAAGCGTTTCTCAAAATGTCAAGTGAATCTTTTCTATTTTTTTCACGGTAAAAGTCCAAATTTTCTAGCGCACGTAACTTTGAAAGAGAGAAGAATTCAACAGCACCACCAAGTTTATATTAGAAGTACAATATATCCACTCAAACACAAATCTGGCATTTCAATTTCTGTTCTCTTTGATACAATATACCATACAACATGCATTGACGATAAAAAAAACTTAATCTCTTGATACACAGCATTATACAACAAGAATTGATGATACTAGTTAATTTAATCACCTGATACACAACATTATCATTCATATATACACTTTCCAACTTTGAGAAGCTGCTTTGAAATTCTATGAGGAGAATAAATTGTAGTTGATATTAAATAAGCTATGACTATATATTCCCATTGTAACTCGGGGCAAGATTTCGGCAGCAATCACAACTAATATATGACTTCTTGTTACCACAGTAAACTAGGCAGGTTCACGAGGACGAGCAGACCAAAGTGAACTGAGAGCACGAAGACGTTGAAAATATTCGCCCAAGGCGAGCAAGCCTCGGGCTGCTTGATGGGGTGTTAAGATACGAGACATTTGCTGCAGAGTTTGCTGGCGAAGATGATCTGCCTGTTCCGGAAAAGATCAACATTACTATGAAAAACAGAGATATTTTCTAAGGACTACAACACACACACAACGATCAAATACAGATGATTAAAGCAATTCTTCAATAATCTAGTTGGTACTTGCTATCACAAGCTATCCATTTCTTCATGAATTTCTATGCCGGTTAAAGGAAACTTGGTTGATAAATTTTTTGTATTGGTTGCACTAGAAGATATTGTGCTGCTTAGTTTCGGGAAAGAAATTATGTTGCATTTATTTAAGCAAAAGTACCAAGCCCACAAATCATTATACATTCTCCTCCAAAACAATTTCCAGGTGCCGAGAAGTTTGGTTAATAGAACAGTCATGTATTCAACAATTTACACAATCGCATACTGAAAGCAAGTCATTTCGAACAGAACACCAGTCAGGATTTCACAACAGGTGATACAAAGCTAATCTAGATCCAATTGAAATGTGAAACCTTCAACTAAAAAATTATACATTACATAGAGCTGATGCAAAACCACTTATTTGCATTAAAAATATATATATATACAGTATATCGTAAGGATAACCAACATTTGGGTGGAAAAACCAATGAGTTCTCATCATTGATAGGCTACAAATTGCCCAAAAAGTGTGAGCTTTCAAGAAATAGGCCCAACAATGCATTATTAAGTTCTAACAGTCACATTAACAGCTTCTCAAAATAAGACAGTGGGTGCAGGGACTTTAATAATTTAGTTTGGTGGCTCACTGATATTTACGGTATTAGTCTCAATTGAATCAACATTTGAAACAAACAAAACTCCTCCCCTCTCTCTAAGCTTAGGACTTGCAGTGGTGAAAGATGGACCCTTTATGGAGTAGAATGGATAAGTGTATTCTATTCGATGAAGTCAAATAGTTGGAATTAAGCCTTAATTGAGATTTGGTTGATGCATTTTTTTTATGTAAACAAAACCTTAAATCAGAGAAACGTCTGTGATACTTTAAATTGCAGTGAGGCACCAGACTATGATAATTAAAGTCCTTGCACCTACCGCGTTACTTTTGGAAGCTTTTGGTGCAACAAGCACTAATTAGATTGAAAACCAGGGTACAACCTATAACAGAACCTCAATAAATCAAGAACCACAGAAAGCAAGTACATACACCCCTTCCACATCCAAGGCTCAACACACGGGTGATAGAAAAAGAAGTAAGAAATTTGAATGTCTTCCCCAAACTTTTTTTTTCTTCACAATCGAACACTACCAATCATGGATGATTACTTGGTGCAATTACAAATGCTTGGTTGACAAGCATGAGTAAACAGGTTTGAGTCTAAGAGCAGTTAGTTTGTGCAAATATAGCCAAGGGTTAAGTCTATCTCCAGTCTTCCCTCCTAGTACCCCTTGCAGGGGGGACCCTCTTACTATAGATAATAATGTTACCATGAACGCTGCTGTCTCAATTTTCTAAATAGTTCTAGCAACTGATTTTTATTGCGGTGGAGCCGACCGACAAATTAGAAAAAATTCAATTGATCTTTCTAACACATAAAAAGGATAATTCTAAACTGCCCTCTTGGCCTAGTGATAAATCAGGTCCTGTATGGAGCAGAATCCTGACTTCAAATATCTATTAACCACCAATTTGGCAAACAAAAAAAAAAAAAAAAAAAAAAAAAAGACTTTTTAACTCAAGAGGAACCAACATTTAAAGGAAAAAAGTTAACATCAAAAGACGTCTAGTATAGAAAATGTCATATGATATAAGGTGCTGCAAATGGCTGGCTGTGATTTGCAAACCATTTGGTGCCTCTTATGAGTCCAGTATCTCCTTTTTAAAACAAAAACTAGGATGAAAATGTGAAGTGAACGAGATGGAAGCAGTTAATTCAACAGCTACTGAACCTATTTGCTCATATTGTCCTGGGATGCCCTACTATTACTGTCTGAAAAAAAGTTCAGGTAACTTTTCTTGCTATTTCTACGGCTACATTTCCTATCCTAAAACTATAGTCCATTTCTGAAAAAAATGAGAAAAAATAATTGAAAATTCTTAAAGAATTTCTTAAGTTAAGACTAATACAAGTGCTATCATTCTTTTTGCTTGTTCTTTCAGGTAACCAGAGGGCGCAAAAAGAAGATTCTATGTCAAGATTTTTATTGCTCTCTCAATTTATGATTGTTTCTTATGCTCATTTGTCACTGACAACACATGGTGAAAGCAATGAAGATTTTTGAAATGATGAAACAACTATTGTGGCCCCAAGTAATTGCACTTTTTCCTTTTCCCCTTTTGGGTCCTCTTCGGCATTTTCCGAAAAACTATAAGAAGAGTAAAAAAGTAAAAGCCAAGACCATGAAGAATAAACATAATACAGACAATACTATTTACAACAAAGTTCTTGATGGTGAGAAGCGATATACCACCTGGTTCACAAACGTCTCCAATGCTTTCAAATTATCGATTGCAGAAGCCATCTGAGAACTGTAGCTTCCTGTAACTGTAGGATCAACAACCATGCTCTGTCCAAGAGTCTGCTGGAGTTTGTCTATTCCTTGAGAGAGCGCATCTTCAGCTTCCTGAGATGATTGATGTAGGTTACAGACAGCCATATGTTGTTGATCGGTCAAGGGCTCCAGTTGTGGCATTAGAACCTGTAAAATAAAAATCTTAAAGTAGTTTCAGAATTCAGAAAGTGAACACTGAAACCTAGTTATAATGGTTAAACGTAGAAGGCTTTGTATCTAATAAATGAATACCATGGAAATGCATGTTGTTATACCATATTTTGGTCTCAATAAGAAACATGTCTGTTACAGCATCTTCAGAACAAAGAGAATAAATTCAGCATACTTTCAGAAAAATCAAGAAAACCCAACACATTTTCTTTGGGTATATGATGAAATCATGGTGAGAAAAATATTATGAAATTTTTAATGAAGCAATTCATCAACTGAATATAAAAATCGTGAATAATTTGAAGGCAACTTGATCATCCAGAGAGTCGATAATACTGTAGCGTTTTGAACCATTGTAGTATTGTAGTATAAGTACCATCTGGGATGCAACAGTAAGAAGTAAATGTATAATTTCCATGAATGCTGAGCATATGTATGACACCCTAATATGAATACTCACTCTTTTGTGGGGCTGAATAGAAGGACATCATGATTAAAATCTGACAAAAAATTGACATTTTTCTTATCAAAGTGCCATTTTCAGACAATTCCTTGTAGAATGTATCTAATATAATTGAATTATGGCATAATCAGCAGTTTCTAAAAGATGAAAAATCTTAAAACACCGAGTTAACTGAATTAAGCATTACGTGTAAAAGCTCTGATGGGCGAAATCCTCCAATCCAGAGGAAAAAGCGCTCAACTGGCGTTCTCCACATGCCAGACATCACAAAGAAGACATCAGCCTTTGCAGCATCAGCTTTCATGCGGAAGAGATCATAGTAGTGGTTTAAGCCACCTTCTACAAGTATGCGGAGCTCTATATCACTTATATGAGCTTGTAACACCTTTCTAAGTTCGCAAGTTTTTCTGTGTTGCTCTTCAACCCAGTGTCCATATTCCATCTCAAAAGAAGCAACTCCTGCATATTAATAGTCGGAACCATTCAAAAAAAAAAAAAAACCAATATCGCTGGGAGGTAAAGCACAATATTTTATAGGTGCACCTTTTAAATATAGCAAATTGATAATTAGGTCATTACAAGTACAGAGTCAACCTAGTTTTTATCGAGCTATATTATAAAATTTATGCACAAAGTTTGTGAATGCATGAACATGCGCACTTGTAAAGTGATATACAAGAATGAAAGGTCAGAAAAGATAATGAGCTATTGGACTTCTCTGGTGTCAAGCCAATATCAGCAACTTGAACAACTATCAATTTTTGTTTTCTGGTGAAGTTTACGATCATACATTTCTTTTGGGAACACTCTCCACAAAAATTATAGCATTTGATACACCTATGCGGATTTCCATTGGCACTAACATAATAAGAAAGGTCCCACTGAGAATTCTAACCGAACAGTCACCACCACCTTCATTCAGGCAATACCACATTGATAGTGTCGAAACAATCAACGAACAAATGATATTCCAAAGATGCATTAAAAAATGAAAGCACAAGAAGGTCACAGGACAGATAAGAATAAGCTGTAAAAATTGCAATAACTATCAAAAGAGCTTCAATTTGGAAAATCAGTAAACAAAGCCCTCCAGTTAAAATATCAACAATGCATTTTCTAATTACATCTTAAAATGTAAGATAAACAAAAAATCAAGAAGAGAAACCAATCCGCAGTTGATGTATTTGCAAATGAACAGCAAAACAGTAGCTCACAGAAAAAGTTTGATAATTGAGAATAGAATATCTAAAGGTCGAGAAGATCAAGAAGACAAATTAACAGCGACAGCAATTCCACAAGACAAGAACCTAACCAGTATTTATTGCACTCCCTGAATACATCCCCTGCAATAAGGCATTCACAAATCCATCAGATAATATACTATAATGCTTGGTCAATAAGGAAATGCATAATTATGGAAAGGAGAAAAATTGAAAAAGGTAATATCCCCCTCACTTGCTGTTTAGTTCTCTCAAGTTCCTGCTCCATTTGTGTCAACTTCATACGGCTAGTTTCTAATTGTTGAACATAAGCCTGCATAAGAGAAATTAGAATACATGGTGGGTCCTAATAGTAATATACTTTGCATGAGTAGATATCGGCATGAGCATACATTCTGAATTAAAGTACACCCTCTACAACAGATTAGGAATTTAGAGTAGATGGTGGTTAACATGGTATCAAAATCAAAAGATCTCGAGTTCAAACCTCACTGTCACCTTAATAATTAAATTTGAACACGTGTTGAATCAAAAGAAAGCCACATGAGAGGGATGTATTAGAGGACATAATAGATATCAAAGTTACACCCTTTCTAACAATTTAAGCTTTTAGAACAGATGGTAGTTAACACATTCTTCATACCTTTTTTCGCAAGCGACTTTTACGGGCAGCTTCACGATTTTGTGCTAGTCGTCTTCGTTGCTGATGTCAATTAAAATCAAAGGAATCACTGGTACATAACATTTCTCATTTTTCCAAGTTGCAATGGCAAAATAACCTATTTAGTGTCTTAAATAAAATATTAATCCTCTGCCTGGCAAGGTTGCATTGGCACATGCACACACACACACACATGAGAGAGAGAGAGAGAGAGATACCTTATCTGAAGTATTGTTTGCTTCTCCATTGTTCTGAGAAGGTCCCGGAGATTCATGTGAAGTATACTCGGACTATAAGTTCCAAATTTGTAAAATCATTCATGGAATAGATGTCAAAAGTCAGAAGAATAACCCAAAATTCGATAAATCAAAAGAGCAAACTTCGTGCATCCTACCTTATTGTCTAATCTCGCATCCACCTGTACCACTGTGGACACATCTGTGTTCGGGCTAATATCACCCTTGAAAGTGTCCTCCCACATGCACATCTGGTGGAGTGGCTCAAAGATGTCCATCCTTGTTGTGGCAAATTGAGTTGGATAGCTCATGCTATCACTGACGGATAAGAGAGCAAATTCATTTATTCAGTTGCATCATCTTGCAGATGATGTGATAAAAGTTACAGAATCGCCTGTAAGATAATGAACAATGACATGTCAGAAAATGTTAAAAGATTTAATTCAGTGACAAAACAAGTAAAGCGGTACACTTCGTAATCTCAATACACAAAGATGCCAAACAAAAGCAATAGAAATCAAGGCAAAGTCCACAAATAGTTGGATCATTGAAAAATAATTACAATGGCTCGCTTAAAAAAATTAGACACCCTAACTCCATATCAGAAATAGTGATTTTAACGCGGGCAGTAACAAGCAGCATTCTTGTACCCAAAAATAAAAAAGAAAGCTCTTAAGCCATAAACAATACCAAATGTGATGTTGGTCAGTATTTAGATGCTCATTACATGACCTATTGACCTACTCATATACCATATAAGGCCTCTAGGCCCTCTACCAGGCATTTTCTCCTGGTTTCTTTAAAACAAATTTATTTATTTATTATTATTATTATTTTTCCATGAATTCTTTAAAACAATTATCATTTACAAATTCTTTGTAAACTTTCAAGATATCATGACAAGCAGAGAGAAATCGGCTAAAGAATCTAATGAGCTGGAGTATTGACAAACCAAGGATTCCTAACTGTCCGGGAAAGCTATGTCATAACAATCTTACTAATTATTTTAGCGGACCTTCCGAAATACTGAAATAAACACAATGGGTGTGCCATGTAGCATTCATTTCATCTTCTCATAATTAAATATTTACCATGTTCCCTATCACCACATTAATATGCATAACATATACAGATATAGAATAATATTTACATACCAAGATAGCTAATTCGGAGTATATACTGTTTGCAAAGGGCTTGTTCACAAGAAGTCCTGACACCCGGGTTGGGTGATTGAAGTTCAAGATTCATTAAGCCCCCACTCTTTCATCCCTTCTTGTGAAACATAATCAAACACGGCAATACAACGAATTTAAAGGTATCTTTCATGTTGCATTTGGGAGCATTGAATCGATGTCTTGAAATTAGAATTGAAGGTTCAAACTTTGAACTAAAATTCTCCCAAATCCAAATCCAAATCCAATTCCAATTCCAAGGCCCCGATTTGGTGCTCCCAAACATAACTGCAGGAGAATTAGCTCCGGAACTCCCAATCAAACCCGTAAAGAGTTGATGAAAGCAAGACCTTACTACAGAAGCAGAAGCAAAATCTATACACCAACAAATATGAGTGAATTTGCAACTCCAAATACTCATATATTACACCAAAAACTAATATATATTAAGGTGTGCTTGTGCGTGTTAAAGGGATTCCAAAAAAAAAAATTACAAATTGGGATGATGAATTCAACTCTTTTAATACCCTTATATATATATATATATATATATACTCCAACTCTTTCAAGAAAGATAAGAGCAAGAACAGAGAACAGTGACAGAGGAGAAGATGGTAAGCCAATAGCAAGAAAACAAAGCAACAAATTAAATCAAGCATGTATATATACGTATATTATGAGAAAATTAGCAGAAACATAAGAATGAATATGAATTGAGAGACCAACCTATTGATGAGAAAAAAATTGTGAGCCAAAGTAGAAGAACTCTGAAAACCCCAAAAGCTTTGAAACCCTGAAATTGAAAACTAATCCTTTGTACCTAATTAATCAATTGTATAAGCAAAAAAATCAGCTAAAAATCGAAGGCTTTGATTGATCTCTGACAAGAATAGAAAGGCCACTCAAGTGCTTCAAAAACAGAGAAGCGAAAAAAGACAAAGTGAGTTGATAAAGAAGTGTCTGATTTGGGAATGCTACAGTCAACAAAGTAGCGTCATCTTATATGTTTACATTCCCCACTTGTTTGTTAATAATACACGGAAGTTTGAAAAATGCATACCCACTCTCTCTCACTCACTCCTCTCCAACTCCCCACCACCACCTACACCATTATCACCAACAGAACCACTCTAATCATATCTCTGCTGTCTCAAATGTGTGTGAGGGGGTTTGATTTCAAGAGCTAGGTCTAGTTTGTCACCACACGTAGTGTAGATACTTAGATACCGTTCACTTTCCTGTTATGGTCTATGCTTAACCTTTTTAAAACTCGTCTACGTATTTAGGAAATATATTCCACACATATAAACGCCAAAAAATAAAAAATAAAAAATAAAAAAACTTCTTTCCTGCATTTTAATATTATTTTGTTATTTATGCAACTTTCCTGCATTTTAATATTATTTTGTTATTTATGCAACTTTCCTGCATTTTAATATTATGTCGTCATTTATGCCATCCACCAAAATATACTTCACATATAAATGCTAACAACATGAGAAAAAATTCCGTAGTTACGATCTCATTACTTGTTAGTATTTAATAAGCTAATAATATCATGTTATCGTTACAACCAAATTCAATTAAATTTTTTTTCAACAATATCCCACAAGACTTGAGTTGTAACAATTCCACTGACAACAAATAAAAGAAAAATATATATGAGTATTTTTTTAGAAAATAATATATGTATTTTAACATATTATCTGAGCAGCCGCATATTTTTTTGGCTATATATATATATATATATTTTATAAATGATAAGAAATTTAACATAGCATCAAAGCATCCCCCATGCAATCACATTTGCACACCATTCAACACTAAAGATAGTAAATTATCATTGACTTAAGATATACATTTATTAAGTTGAATCATTGATAGCAGGTTGTTAGAGCAACTAGTCGTCTATCAGAGTATTAAAAGCATCATTGTGACTTTTATTTTCTGTTTTCTCGTTTATATTTTCATTTCATTTTATTTATTTATTTATTTTTTATCTACACCAAGAACTCACCTAGGCAAGACCCCTTCAGAATCCACCATAAGTTACAAAGCTGGGGATGCTATCGACGGTTCCACACCTCAGCACCAATTTCAGTCAAGAAGTATAATGGGAATGGACGAGTTCGAATCTGAAAAATATGGCACTTCAAGTTGTTGCCTTACCAACTCTATCAAATTCTTGGGGGCTATTTTCATTTCATATTGAGTAATGATATTTGACTTAAAAGAGTTTGATAAAATTGTCACACTTGTTATTTTTAATTAGTCAGCCTCATATAAGAAAGTGAAACCTTTTGATCACTTCCTTATCTCATGCTTTAATAACTAATTAAATGTATTCGATCAAATAATTTAGTCTAACTCTTTAGCTTAAGCAACGTTACTCTTTTGTATTTTGTCTCATGAATCAAGGCCAAATATGAGAAAGGGTATTAAAGAGCTTGATATTCAACATTGTTGGTCTTTCCATTTACAAGTAAAGGTCAAATGTGAGAGAGGATATTGAGAGCTTGATATATGCCTTTGGATTGTTCCAAAATAATTCGAGTCGTGTCTCATATTGACAATTTGTTAATGTGTGTATAAATATTTATTTAACTTTAGAAGGAAAAAAAGAAAAAAAGAAAAAAATTATTTATTGTAAACATAAGGAGAAAAATGAAAGGAGGACCCAAGGAGGGTAACTTATCTTTTGTTTATTTTAAATATTAAGAGGTCAGAAAATAGAGGATTAGGAGGGGAAATAAGGGATGATCCAACACTTTAAACACTTTATTCCTAATTTCTAAATTAATACGTAAATAGAAAATTTAATAATTAATTACCATTTTTATTCCTAATATTTAAAACAAGTGAATTTTTATTTTACCATTACCATTTACAAAATAAAATAATTAATTTCTCTTTCTTATCTCCACTATTTTTTCCAAACATGTGGGAATTATTACCCCATCTTCTCTTATTCCTTATTTATCTCTCTGTTCTTAGTTATTCGAATATTGAGTGAGTTGTTTCCAATATACAGATACATTATGTGTATATATGTGTGTGTTTGTGTGTGAAGTTTGCCTTTTATGTTGTGAGTGGTGATATGGACTGATGATGAATGAAACAAGTGAGCTCTTATTGTGGAGGTGTTTAATTGTCTCTGTTTGGTGAAGCATTGTACAGTTGCTGTCATAGACTGTGTGTTTGTTGTCTCAGGAATCACACTACTGCAAGTTTGGAAGGTTTGATGACAATTCATGCAACGGCTAAATGTCTTTATACACAAAAAGGGTAGCCTATAAAGTGCAAATATACATCCCATGCAGTCATCTTACAAATGATATAGTACATGGCACTTTAACCCACATTACAAAGGTTTAATTATTATTATTATTATTATTATTTAACAAAATGCTCTTAGGAAGACTCGAATTAATTCTATATTTTTACTTTGAAAGGACAAGATAGTTATATTGTGATTGATATATTTAGAACAATTTTTTTTTTTTTTTTTTTTTTTTTTTTTTTTATTATAATTTTAACATTGTTTGCTAGCATTTAATACCCCTGTATGCATATAAGTTCATATAACCTCCTATATATTCTCTAACGCTTATTTTAGGGGCAAACAATGACCTCTCCTCATTCAGTCATTGGTGGAGTGATAAAAATATTAAAATGTACTTTTTACAATTAAAATCAGAAATAGTAAAAAAAAAAATCAGTTAATGTAAAATTACTATTATGGCCTTTATTAAACGACCTTGTTAGGAGATGATGAGATACATATAAAAAGGGTAAGGGCATTTTCGGTATTTAATACAATTAACTAGTCGTGTGGAGGCACTTGGTTTGTTAATGTACATTTGGTTGACTACGAAAAGTCCTAATTTGCAATATTTTTTAATTTTTGAAAATTGTATACCTAAAGTTAAAAACAGGTGTTATTTGCTCAAAAAGTAAATCCTAGATTGTTTACTTGTCCCTTCTAACAAATAACTTGTGCAGTACTTTTAAGAAGACTTGAATTCTTTTCTTTCACTTTGAAAAGACAAGAAATGTTCGATACGAACAACCTTAGTTGGTACAACCACTTTTCCCAAAGGGAAGATTTGGTGCCCGAGGTGTATGTGTTTGCTCAACCTTTTTTAAAATAAAAAATAAAAATTCTTATTCATCGCAACCAGTGAAAACTATAAGCGAATTAAGTGAGTCAAGGGTCAAAAATTAATTTAAGCTAATTCTATATAATCGAACATAATTTGGCCTTAAAATGTACTTTGCTGGGAATTTTTTATTTTTTATTTTTTTGGGGTTTTGGATTTGGAATGTATCCTTTATTATGTGATATAATGATAATGCAACTGAATCAACACATGGGTTATAAGTGCTTTATTGAAATTGTCTAGTAGGGTAATGTTGCATTATAATTATATAGAGCCAGCTCTGATACAAAGTGGTTGCGTCAGATTAGCATAGAAAATTAAAGGGGAAGAAAAAAACAAAAGACACAAAGAAAACGACAGAGAAAAGAATTGCTTGGTGGGCATGCGTCATGCTTGATCAGATGATAATGCATGCCTTTTTTGGTACACCATGATTAGCTGATAAAGTTGGCCAAATGCGATTTAATTATGGTCGTCTCTTGATTAAAAATTAATGATTCAAGTACAATAATACTAAGATATTCAAGTCAAATAATTGATGAAAAGAAATATTATTCACCAATGTTGATAATGGAGTATAATATTGTCCATATTTTAAAAGTAATTATTTTTTTAATGAAAAGACCTAATCCAATAGGTTGTACTTCAGTTTTTTTATTTTATTTTTTATTATTTTTTTTATAGGATATACACATCCAAACACTATAGAAATATTTCTATAGAGATTGAACATCGATCTCCTGTATAGAGACACAGAGTTAAGTATGTACTATTATTGATCGGAGAGAGGTTATCGAGACAAGAACCGAGATTGATCTCTAAAGGTATATCAAGACCTAATATTTGCACAAAATATGAAGATAATTGTTTTTGACACAATCTCTTAGCACTCTCATGTCTCATTGTATGGATTTTTGCAACTACATCATTTGGATACTTTTGCTTAAATTGAGTTGCCTTCGTGACAGTATTATTAACTGAAATGTGAAAATTAAGCCTCAATTCATATGTGTGTGTGTGTGAGTGAGTGAGCGTTTGATGTAGAATGGGTTGTCAATGATTAAACCATTTGGACCATCTGGAAGGCCAAACAGATGGTCTCGTTGTTTGTTTTGGCCAAATTATATTGTTTAGGTTCTGAAATTACATTTTTTAATCTTATAAGAAGTACTTGACTATACTTCAGAGAAAATTAAATATTAAATTATTCATAATATTTGCATTGAGCATTCAACTAATTAGGGTCAATTTGGCAATCACAATTACTTTATACTTTTGCAATGTTTTGTTTTTAGGGTGTGTTCAACACTATTTAAAAATTTATTTGGTAATATAAATTTGTTACAAGATTTTTAGAAGCAAAAACATGAAAGCATGTTTGGTAAGAAGTGTTACAAGTTTGAAAATTTAAATGGTTAGTTAAAAATGTTATTTTAGAAAGAAAAAAAATATATTGAATAGTATTTTGCTACAGTGCAGAAACAAATAAAAACATCATTTTTATGCTTCTGATTTTTGCCTCAATTTTGGAAACGCTTCGATATTATTCCAAAATACATTAAATATTACCAAACATGCTTTTACTTGCCTATAACACTTTAATAAAAACAGAAAACATGAAATAAAAACACTAACCAAACAATATCTTACCTTATGCTTCAAAAATGTGAATGCAAAGATTCTACCGAATCACAACACCCGATAAGTTGGAGAAGAGCAAAAAAAATAAAAATAAAAATAATAAATAATAAAAAATAAAAGATAAGATAAGTTGGAGAAGATAACTCACTTTTGCTTTTTTAGCTTTAAGGTGGGGCCATTTAGATTACTCACTCTCTTTGTCCGAGCTAATGGTATATATTACCTGTCTTAAAATCCCATCATCATCAGTGTAATATAGTAGTATAAGCATATTTAAATGCATTCTCCAAGCAAATTTCAAATACAAGATAACTTTAAAAAATAGTAAAATTGAAGCTTCTTTTCACACCAAAAAGATCATAATAAAGAAAGAGAAGAATTTTTGTTTGGATGCGATTTGTAAAAGGTTTTTTGTTGGAACAATCCAACTTGACTTACCAAATTTTGAAAGACGTTTGGTTTGCCATTTGACAAATGAGTACTTAATAATTGTGTACAAAAGAAAATTATATTATATATATTATATATAATATTTACTACTTGGGGTCCAAGACACAGTAAACAAAAAATAATGTTGCAAGCACAACCATGAAAAGTCTTCAGTGGCCACATAAGTCTGGTACATTATTCTTTCCCTTTCTCATTGTCTTTCTTTATCCTTATTGTGCGCTCTCTCTCTCTCTCTCTCTCTCTCTCTCTCTATATATATATATGTGTTGTAACTATAATTTAGTTTGTTTTGCTAATATTGGTGGTGTGCAGCCATGCAGGGACAAAAACATTGTCAGCCGTTGGAATTGCTTTGTTCATGTGTGGACAACAGTTTTAGATTCAAGGCATTTCAGATTTGAACTTTATTAAAATAAAGGTTTATACTTTTTGTCTTCCATGATTAGCTTAACTAAAGCAAATTAGGGCTCCTTGGTTTTGTGACTCTAGAAAACAATTTGATGAAAATTATGAAAGACGGTTTTTTTAAAATAAATATTTTTATAATTGAGCCTATTTGGTTTGTAATTTCGAGAACAGTTTTATATTTTTAGAGAATTAAAAATATAAAATTGTACAAAAAAACAGAAAACTATTTTTAAATAATTATAAAAGATAATCATCTTAAAACAGGTCTTTTAGCCTACTTGGTTTGTAATTCTGAGAACTGTTTTTTTTTTTTCAAATTACTGAAAATATAAATTTGCACAAAAAAAAAAAAAAAAAACTCTGCTTGGTTCAGTTTTCTGAAAACTCAGTTATAAAAATGTCTGTTCATAATTATCTAAAAACAGTTTTCTGTTATCAGAGTTTATGAAAATTATTTTCAGAGTTACAAACCAAGCAAACTTTTATATTTTGAAACATGAATGTATAATTCAATCAATAGAAAATAATTTATTGCCTTTTTTTTTATTTTTTCCTCCAATGAGGACTAAAGTCACAAGTACCATCGTGAAAAGATAGGTTGTTCTTAATTTAAGTAATTATCAAAAGAACAAAAATAGATGCACAAGAGTTATTCTGGCATGCATCTTTTGCTGTGAATGTTCCCGAACAAACATACAATATCACTTCACAACTAAGAGTGCAAATTCCTAGCTTTCCCTTTGATTTGATCTCCAAACTGATCAAAAGGAAATAACGTTTCTTCTATCAATTCCATTGATACTAAACAATTTGTTAGTTTGTTATTACTAGTTCCATTTGGATAGGGATGACAATTTGCCCCATAGAAAAAGGTACCTGCCCTACCCCGCTCCCGTTTATACCGGTTTTGGGGGACCATTTAAGTTATTTGGGTAGACATGAGGTTTAGAAGTAAAAACCCGCACAAATACGGGGCGAAGGCGGGGGGAGGTCACCTGTCCCGTTTAGGTATGTAAGTTACTAAATTACTTTTGCTCTTACTAATATATATAGTTAGCGTTAGAAACCATAAGTCACATTCACTCATTTTCTCAGTCGTTCTAGACTTTTAGTCATTATGGAATGTTTGTAATGTTGAATTTTATGTAAAACTATTGATTGCCTCTTTTTAATGAATTTTTTTAATAGTTATATAATTGTATTTGAGGAAAAAAATTAAAGACAACGAGAAATTTTGGGAGTAAATGGGGTGGGGCGGGGCGGGGCGGGGTGGGGCGGATGCCTGCGGGGTGAAAAAGTTAAATGGGGGAGGGGATGGGTGGGAAGGCACCTCCCGTTTAGACAGTTTTGAATGAGACAGGAACTTTTAACGGGAGTCGGGGCAGGGGAGGGTAGGGAAACCCAAAACCTCCCCATTGCCATCCTTACATTTGAGACTATATGGTTGTATTTCTTGACCTCCTCTTAAGTTGGGTCTCTTGTCTCTCTTGTGCACCAATATGGGTAATATTGTGGGTGTGTATATATAAGTAATGTGGACCATCAAAAGTTCAAACGGACATACTGACACATATTTTGGAACATTTTTTACAGACTCGGTCTGACACGATAATAGGTTAACTCTTAAAAATTAGTAACATTGCTACTAAGATATATGCGTTGCTTTTTAGCCGAATTCTATAGTTTAGGGCTCCAAAATCGTGTTTTCAAAATTGTTGAATATTTTGGATTTTTATTAGAAGTTTATTCGAATTATTCTAATTTTTGGTGTTTAGTAATTTTTACTAATTAGGTTTCTTATATTATTGTTTTTCTATATATATTTTTTAAAAAAAGGTTTCATTTTTGACTTATTTTAAGCTTTCTTTACTGTGTTAAAGTTTCATAATGTTTGAAAACATACCTAGGGCTTTGTGGCTCAATGATATTTCCTCTATCTCTCAAAGTGAATGGTGAGGGTTCTAATTTTCAAAGGAGTAAAGTGTGTGTGTAAATTTTCTTGCCAAAGACCAAAAAAAAAAAAAAAAAATTATGCTTGAGAACATAATATTTTCAAAGTTCCTTAATTTAAAATTGTTTTCTTATTTATTGGTTAAGGTTAGATAATTTCTAGATAGAACCAACATGCTAGTGGCCTAACGGTATCAGGCCCCTACTTCTTAAAGAAAGGTCCGGGATTCGAGTCTTAGTGGAGGTATGTGTGTTATATATATATGTTACTTAAAAAAAAAAAACAATGACTACTAAATAATTAATTAATGAAATAAAGAATAAACACTTGAAAACAAATTTCTACCAAATAATTAACATTAAATAACAAATAAATAAACATTCCAAAACAAATTTCATCCACAGTTCAAATAACCAAGTAAATAAAACAATAAAATAAAATATCCCCTGAACAATTAACATTTAAATGACCAACACTTAAACTCCAAAATGCACAAACAATACAAGTAGCCAAGTAGATAAAATATATATATATATATATATATATATATATATATATATATATAGATAGATAGATAAATAAAAGGCCTTTAAAAATTTATGAATATTAACCAACTAGGAAAAAAAAAATTCTAGATGAAAGTTTGTTTGGAAGGCAAGATATAATCCATATAAGCTTTCTCTTTTATAAAAGATTATGTTTGCTTTTATTTAAAGAAAAAGTACATTGTACAAAATCAATGTATATAAAATGTACTCTTCAAAATTTCTTCAAAAACATGGCCAGAATAATTGTAGTAATTCTTTGGATTTAGTTTTTTTTCCGGTAAATATTTCTCAGAATTTAGTTGAAAAGTGAGAGCTTCAAAAGAGGTCAAGTGGTGTATATGATAAAGGCCAAACTGATACAAAAACAAACAGGTCCTCAGCTTCACAGTTCCTTCGAAATTGAATTATCGCGGGAACTCCAAAATCACCACCAATCCAGGCAATGCTAACAATCATCTCACCACAGACCTCTCTCTTTCAATTACCTTGCCTTTTGGACATTCAACCACCCAAATCATCAAAACCCAGAAAAAACCTGAACACAAGAGATAGTTACAACACATATTCCTCAAAATTTCGTTGTTTTTCCTTCAAAGACCCATCTTTTTCATTCAATTCGCCAAATTCTAGCAATTTTTCAAGCTCCCAGGAAAACCCAGATGCCATTTTCCCGAGTTCTTCGTCTAATGATCAGTTCTTTGATTCCGGTGTGCTTGGATCTTGGCTTCAGTCTTGTTATACGGTAAGAGATGTTAATAGGACACATGCGATTGTTCTGAAGTGTTTGAAGGACCCACTTGTATATGTTGACAATAATTTGATCAGTGCTTATGCTAGATTCGGGAAGTTAGTTGAAGCTCGTAAGGTGTTCGATAAAATGTTGGAACCAAATGTTGTGTCTTGGACTGCTGTTCTTAATGGGTACTTGAGATTCGGGTTAGATGATGAAGCTATAAAGTTATTTAGTGAGTTTGTTGAGAAAGGGATTCGAGCGAATCCGAAGACCTTTGTTTGTGTTTTGAATTTGTGCAGTAAGAGACTAGATTTTCAGCTTGGGAAACAAATTCATGCTTGTATTATAAAAGGTGGTTGTAGTAATCTGATTGTAGATAGTGCAATTGTTTACTTCTATGCACAATGTGGTGACCTGTTTGGTGCATTTCGTGCATTTGATAGGATGCCAGAGCAGGACGTAGTTTGTTGGACGACAATGATCACTGCTTGCTCACGACGGGGGTGGGGGGAGGAGGCTCTTGAGATGCTTTCACAAATGCTATCTGATGGATTTTCCCCTAATGAGTTTACCGTTTGTAGTGGTCTGAAGGCTTGTGGAAATGAGGGCGCTTTGAAATTTGGGAGACAATTACACGGGGCCGTAGTTAAGAAGATATTCAAAAATGATGTTTTTGTAGGGACTTCATTAGTGGATATGTATGCAAAATGTGGGGAGATTGGAGATTCTAGGAAAATCTTTGATGGACTGAGGAAGAGAAATACAGTTACATGGACTTCCATTATAGCAGGATATGCTCGGAATGGACTTGGTGAAGAGGCTATAAGACTATTTTGGGTAATGAAAAGACGAAAAATATTTGCTAACAACTTGACCATGGTAAGCGTCCTTAGGGCATGTGGCTCAATTGGAGCTTTACTCCTAGGAAAGGAAATTCATGCTCAATTACTCAAGAATTCTACTCAGAGCAATATTTACATTGGAAGCACTCTTGTGTGGTTCTATTGCAAATGTGGGAAGTACTCTCTTGCGTCCAAGGTCCTTGAAGAGATGCCTCTTAGGGATGTCGTTTCATGGACTGCCATGATTTCTGGTTGTGCTCATTTGGGACATGAGTACGAGGCTCTTGAATTCTTGAAAGAAATGTTGGGGGAAGGTGTCGAGCCAAACCCTTTTACCTATTCATCAGCGTTGAAAGCATGTGCTAGATTAGAAAATATTCAACAGGGCAGGTTGATTCACTCCTCTGTAAACAAGACCCCTGCCTTGGCTAATGTGTTTGTGGGCAGTGCTTTAATTTTTATGTATGCGAAATGTGGATATGTTTCAGAGGCAATCCAAATTTTTGATAGCATGCCAGAACGGAATTTGGTTGCTTGGAAGGCTATGATTGTGGGTTTTGCCAAAAATGGACTCTGCCAAGAGGCTTTGAAGCTCATGTACCGAATGCAAGCAGAAGGTGTTGAGGTGGATGATTACCTCCATGCAACAGTTCTTTCTTCATGTGGAGATGTTGAATGGAGTATGGAGCCTTCATCTGAGCATTGCTTGCAATCAATATGATCATTGATCAAAACTGGATTCCGGTTTTCAATTTGAAACTCTCAACGAAATTATAGATGGCTGCCTAGATCAAAGCTACAGTCTTTAAATTGAAGAATATTGTTCATGTACTGGAGTAGAAGACCATATCATACTGATTCAATATGAGAGGCTGAGTATAAACCTTCGTAACAGTGATTCGTCCAAACTTCCTGGCAGATCCCAGTTTGTCTAAGAACCACCATCAACCTACTTTCACAAGAAAGGGAGAAAGAAAGAAAAGAAAAGGTTTGACTCAGTTCTCCTCGCATCAGGGTGATTTGTTCAAATTGTTTCTTGAGAACATTGCAAGCCTTGGATTCCAATTGTCTGGGCCACTTGTTGTAACATGGAGATATTGTATAGCCACATTCATGTATTATCAACGAAATTCAAATTCATTGTGCTAAGAATTTGATCATAAACAAGTATTGTACATAATGGAAATAGTCCCTAGATCTCTCTCTTTCTGCATGTGTCTGTTGGACCTTGGTATATAATCTGTGATTAAGCACTTGGATGTAAATAAAATTCAAAAAAAAAAAAAAAAACCTGTAGAAATCCAAAATAATCAAAATAGGGCATTTTAGTCATCGTGTGGAGCTCAATCGATTTAGCATATTGAGTTGGTGATTGAGAAGGCAGCCTCCCGTGCAGCTCTCTCTATGAACAGGGGGACACAGAAGAGGAGGAAGAAGGAGAAAGAGGGCAGGAAAAAGAGGGGAAGAGAAAGAAAAAATGTAAGGTATGAAATTCTAACCAACCCCATGTCTTTGCTATATATCTTGAGTTTTTGCATTATTATCCTCATTATATTGATTATGAACTGTTGATATATTGGTTGCACTGCCTTTATACTTTGCCTTTAAAATTGAGGCAGCTCTTTTGCTTGAGAAATTACTAGATGATAGTCTTGGACCATTATTGCTTGTACAATCTCATGTCATGATCAAATGTTGTTTAACCTTCTTATATTTGGCGCAACGGTAAGGTTGTTATATTGTTACCTGCAAGTCATAGGTTCCAAACAAAAATCAATCTCTCTGGGGTGATAAGATTGAATACATTTCTCTCCCCTGCGTCGGGTGCCTTGTGCATTGGGTTGACCCAAATCAACATAAACTTCAGATGAAATCGAAAAAGGGCAAGTGATACCAGAATTGAGATTTGAGAATAGAAACAAATACATTTCTAGGGAGTGGTTCAGATTGATTGGTTCTGGTGGTGTTCCCGGATTTTGTTTGGATTAGGCATCCTTGTCTCGGGCTGTGATATGAAGTTCTCTTTTGTGGCTTTGGATACAGCAGGACCTGTTGCTCTTATTTTTGTGGCCTCTAATCTGGCCTGTTGTTTTGTCGAGGGTGGTTTGCTCTCAGTGTCTTCTAATTCTTTTTAGTTCTGAATTAATTAGGAAGGAATGTTGATAGATGTTGATCAAGACAGAGCACATCTAAGTTAGTGAAAGAGGAAGATTTTCTTTCGTAGCGGCGAAGAATGCAAACCTGTCATCCACTTGAATAGTGTGACTAATAACAAACATTACCCCATGCTCAACAACCCAACCTAACTTCCAAACCAAATTCAAAAGCAACCTCATTTAGCTTAGATTTTGACCTAACAACTTCTATCACCACCAATTCTTACTTGAACCATTGAAATTGAACTTCCATTTAAAGCAAATGCTTGAAAGAATCGAGAATGGCACAACACCAGTGGCCTGGAATGGTTCAGCCACAAGAGAGTTAGTCCAAATTTAGTCCCATTCTATGTGTCCCCACTTCAATTTTAGCCCCATTTTTCAAACCTCCACCAAGTCACAGTCAAGAATTGCTTGCCTTCCAAGTTCTAATACAATATTATTTGGTCTGTGTTTGTATGTGTATATATATTATTTCTATATATATAGCTTCTCCAGAGTCTAGACCTCCCAACCTTGTTACATAAACCAAACCAACCACTCATTTTGGCTATATTAGTCTGTATTTTGTGCCATGGCATTAGCTGGAACTGCTAGTCTAGCAGAAGTCTACATGATGCAAAAGCTGCATAAGGAGAAGATGAAGAGCATGGAAGATGAAAAAAATGGACGAGAAGTGAGTGCTCAAGCCGAAGGAAAGAGTACTTCTAGTGGTGGTTTCTTCGCGGTGTTTAAGAAGATCCATCCCACTGTTGTGCCCTCCCCGGATTCGACCAGAGAGCAAGCCGGGACAGGGGATCATGAGAGTTGAGTTGGGATCAAATGGTGTTTTGTAAACACTTTTGGGTTGTAAACCTGTATTAAGCTACCGTATTTCGTAGTGAAAAACTTTCAAGTTGACTGTTTAGAGAACCAGTAAATTAATAGCTTAATCTTCGATTGTGTTGGTTGTGGCGCGTATGGTTATAAGATTTATTTGGATCTTATTGCAGGCGCGTATGGTTATAAGATTTATTTGGATCTTATTGCAGATCATTTCATATGCAATAACTGCAAGTTGGTGGTAGAAATTAAACTGAGGTGTGGTACTATTAAATAAGATTTTTATGAATTCATTCTTAGTTTTCTGGTGCTGAATTGAGAGTTTATAGGTAATTACTGATCAGCAACTTTTTGAGGAGGAACATAATCTAAGTGAAGCCTTCTTGTGCATACCAAAATAATTCTTGATTCAGCTGCATGTAATTCATTAGCTCTCGTAGCTCTTAGCTTGACAGATTATGACCTAATTCACACAATTTCCTGTAGGAAAATGTCGTGCACGTAGAAATTTTATCAGAATTTTTCATCCACAATGATGTGACAACGACATCGAAGATTGAAAGGTGCATTTTTTTTCTATTTTGAAGTGGAAAATTAGATGGTGAAGTTGATATGCACTAAATTCTTGGTTTTACCTTTGATATATGGAGGGTGAATTTGACATCCACTAAATTATTGGTTTTACCTTTTGATATGTGGAGGGTGAATTTGACATCCACTAAATTCTTGGTTTTACCTTTGATATATGGAGGGTGAATTTGAAATCCACTAAATTATTGGTTTTATTTTTCAACGTTTTATTTTTAGATTATTTAGATCGTATCCCTCATTACTATGATTCATATGAATCTGAATCCCCTTCTGTTCATGGGAATTCGGTGCCCATCTGATGCATCAAACTACATAGTTTTGATACACTAGATGGTGCACGGAATAGGATGAGATCTAATGTCGTTTCATATGATATGTAACAACAGATTCATTATAAATGGAGGCATTACACTTTAAAGTGGAACCCATCATCATCAAAAGAGACTTCATTTATAGTACTTGCTTAGACTGCTTAGGTTATCATCTCATTCATTTTCTTCTTGTTTGCACTATGAAAGTGTTTTACTTGTTGCCATTAATCATTTATGAAGACACTAGTTTAATGACATTGAATGTGATAATTAAAATAAGTGTAATGATTCACCTTGACAATTGATTTTTTTCATTATTTTAATCTCCATGATCCAACAAAGACTATGATAACAACGGGTGTTTCTCTTTTCAAAATATTCAAATCAATAATGAACACATCAGTCAATAATAATACCGATTCGAAACTTTTATCATTTTTCTTCAAATAAACCCTGGATGTGGCACTGCATGAACCTTACCACAGCGATAGGTAAATCAATATGGGTAGATTCAAATTCATGTCTATATTTCAATCTCAAAACCTGCATCCAAATCCGAGCTAGATCCTAGAAACAAAATCCATCCAACGCATACAATCTATGAATAATTGGAGCAAATCCAGGATCTAATAATTAATACGAGTTTTGGATTAGATTGGATCTCAGGTCAAATTGATAGCTCTTTGGTTAAAAAAGGAAGAGAAATACAAATTTGTTAACAGGTCTAACTATAAATCTTATATTGTCGACATTCAACTGTAGAACCTATGGTTTTCAAAGGGAAGTTTTAAATTTCAGACAATTGTGGATGTTATGACCAAATAGGTACATTGTTATCCTCAGAACACGCAAATCTTGTAAAAGACACAACCATATCCAACATATTGCATATATATTCAGACAAATTCCACTTGCACTTTTAGCTTGAATCCATGTAGCATCGACACGCATATACGACCTGACACATAGGTCAACACTTAAAATTTTAAAAAAGTAAGCATAATGTCACGTTCTGATTCCTAACGACGCCACGGGCATAGAAGACACGCATGCTGGTTGGCTAAGAACATTTATTGACTGGGAATGGTTCCAGGGAAGGAGCGTGCACGACCACATGATGGTACCTCTTCAGAGTTCAGGCAGGTCGACTCGGTTCAGTTCGAGGTGCTTGTCGCTAGTCGTGGACTTGACTATGAAAAAGGGAGTTGGCCATCCCTGCACAAACTGATCGGGAGCTGAAGCAGTTCCTCTGACGAGGTCAAGGCAGGCCGAAACCAATCAGCATGTATCCTTGGAAGGCCAGGTCGTGGTGGCTGATCAGGGCGCTTCCGCGAGCTAAAGCAACGCCTTGGTGCCGCACGGGCCGTGCCGCTGCGCCAAATCTCTAGGCCCGTGACAATAAGCATATATTGAGTAATAGTATTATAAAATTGTAAATCATTTTTAATTTTTATATCATATATATATATATATATATATATATATATATATAGTTATTTTACTACTTTGTCCCAATAGTGTTTTTATTTTAAATGAACAAATACTATTTAATACTTTGTTTGTGATCATATGTGTATAAAATTAATTTTTCTTAAAAGAAAATGTTAAACACTTTAAAATGTGTTTATATTATTTTCAAAATTACTAGATAGGTTTGTTTTAGAAATATTTAAAAGTATCTAAGAAGTATCGTGGAACTGTCATGAAGTGTTCAAAATAATAAAAATTTATTTTTATTTACGGGCACATTTATAAAGTATTGGACCCGTGTCCGAGGATTATTTGACGAGTGTCGGTGTTTGACACAAACACAATACACATGCGGCTCTTTTGTAGAAGCGTCCGTGCTTCATAGATTATTCAATTAATAGTTTCCAACAAATTAATCACAAGTAATGATGTGAAAATTTTGAGACTTCAAGTGAGGTATTAAAATCATTAAACCAATCTGACCTCTGGTGTATTAAGGCTTGAAGCAGCTGATCTTATTCATAATATTATCAGTTCGCACAAATTGCATAGTATCATTGTAAAAATCACCAATCGGGTATTTTTCCTCCAAAAATTATCACGACGCCGATTTTGTCATTGCAATTTTGTTTAATATATGAATACATAAGTTTTACTGCATGCGACGATAAGGCTTGAACTCTATGCATCATGAAGCATCATGTTTTAGAATCGATTCTTTTTAGGTGTAAACAAATTTTTAGGGGCCACAATCGCGTACAGAGTTTGAGGGGGCGCCTTGTACGAATTCCATAAATTAGTAAGGATAAAGTCCTGGACACTTAGGTTATCGAGAACAAAATTTATTAAAAAAGGCGACAAAATTTTTCTATTGTGACCTAGGGAGATTACGACCTATCTAACTGCGAAGTGTACTATTTTCAATCCCAAGAAATACAATAACCAAAGTCTTGTGTACTGAACTTGTTCCTTGGTGTGTAGGGAGTAATATACGCGATTTCTATTTCAATCGTTGGATGAAAAATATACGCGATTTCTATTTCAGTCGTTCGACGACGATTGAAATTGACAACTACAATTCAACGACTGAAATTAATAATTACTATATTATATATTTCTGGTTTTTTAAAACTCCAAAAACCACTCAATTTCAGTGTTCTAAATAAAATAAAATACCTTAATTCCGCTATTTAGATTGTATATATGCTCAAGTCATTCTTGTTAGTTCAAAAATATTAGTATCCTATTTTAGTGGGCATTAAGTCTTTTAATATACAAGAATGACAACTTAGTTAAAATTATTATTATTATCATTATTATTATTATATATACATATTTGTAATTTCTCTTACTTGACCATACATTTAGTTTGTGCAATGTCACATATGGTCTGTATTTAACCATACATTTAGTTTGTGCAATGTCACATATGGTCTGTGATGATGACTTTTATTTAGTGTGATAAGAAGTACGTCGCTATTGCTTACACTTGCACAAGTCCAAAGGGTAAAAGGTTATGGTGTGCTAACCACTTTATTTTCCTTTTATATTTGTATTCTATTCAAAATATAGGTGATTGTGTCAAAATATATATATATATATATTCTATTCTCAATTAAGGTATTTTATTTTATTTAGAACACTGAAATTGAGTGATTTTTAGAGTCTTAAAAAACCAAAAACACATAATATAGTAGTTTTTAATTTCAGTTGTTAGATGAAATACAATGACTAAAATAGAAATTGTGTATATTGTTCCCTACACACTTAAGAGCAACTGAACGGGACTGTATATATGTGTGCGCGCGCACGTATGTGCTATATTTGATCAGCCAATTTTGTTCAATAGTAGTCAATTAGTAGGCCACCTTTTAGGAAGGTGCAAATCAAAGGTGTCTACACAAAATGCAAAGTTTTGCTATGGTTGACCTCTACAAGAGAATTAAGACAAAAATGACTTGGTCACTAAGCCAACTATATAAATGCATGTTTATGTCATGCATGATTCATGATGTTATAAGGACCACTTTTCATGTGACCCCACTTCATATTTTTCCCAGGAAATTCTTCAATCTTATTTCTAAGCCGCCATGATGAAATGAAACAGCCAAGAACATGCAGTGCCAAAACTTGCTTGCTCTCCAAGCCTATTACTTGTGTATAAATAGCTTCTTCAAGCCCTCCCAAAACGTTATCATCACAAAATCCAATTTGTCAAAAGAATCCATTTCTCACACACAATTTCACCATACCGGCTTTATTTTTCCGGCCATGTCTTTAGCCGGAGCTGAGTTTGCTGAAGCTTACGTGATGCGACAAATCCACAAGGAGAAAATGAAGAGAACATCAAAGGAGGAGGCCAAAAGGGAGGTAAATATTGCAGACCGTGACAGTGAAAATCCACAAGGCTGCTTCTTTTATATGTTCAAGAAGATACATCCGACCGACGTGCCATCATCGCCAAGATGTGGCAGGGGAGAAGCTGTGAATTAAATTATATGGATTTGTTTTGTGTAATCAGTACTATTGGTTTGTTATGAAGATGGCAAGCCTGAGTATCAAGTATTTGTACTCTTAGCTTGGAAAGAAAACCCTAGTTTGTAATGAAATTGTGTGTAATATATTGTTTTTAGATCTTGATATATTCTTTTTTCATTCGAAGGATTGGAGTCCTCTATTCAATCACAAAAGGCTAAACTTTGTATGTGTTACCTTAGCATTTGGGTTGTATATATATACATATATATATATGGTGTACTAATTAGCTGCCATATTTTATAGTGCAAAACTGATTTATACATTTTGCAGTAATTTGTTTTGAACCATCCCTTTTTTTATATAAAATAAATTAGCATTTTTTAAGGATAAAGAACAATTAAATATCTATCCAAAATCATAGAGTTAGCAATGACAGAATAAAGATAACTACCATAGAGAAAGGGTTTCACTACAATTGAAATATGGTCTAGATGAATTGAACCATCAAATGACTTATGGTTCAGCACTATTTAACAATTTGAGGAAAAATACATTAATGCCCCTGCATATCATCATTAATTCTATGGACAAAAAGGGTTGTCATTAACCCATTAATAATTCTGGCACAAGTTGGGAGCCTCTTTCAACTAAATTAACTATACACACACACTAGTATGACTGTATATGTGAGCATTACATCATGTTTCTTGTTAAGGGCATTTTAGAAAGACCATTGCCCAAAGACATTTTTTGTTCAGGAGGATTGCAGAATAAAGATCACTACTATAGCTATGACAATGATGACACCCCACATATGAAGATATCTTTATGTTTTGCAGTATTGTATTCAACAGCCCCCAAAAATAAAATAATAAATAAAAATGGAAGAAGAAGAAGAAGAAGAAGAAGACAAGCAAGCTTTATAAAACATTCTTGTGTGTCAAATTAAATGAAAAAATGCATGCTCCTTTGTAGGAGTAAATTATACACTTTATTAATGTATATTTCATCAACAGTGTAACCTAGTAGAATAAATCTTGACGATGTAAGCTCTGCCAAGCTACAAGAAGTGAAAAATGGTCATCCTAATCCGTTAGGCGGACCAGGAGAGGCACTCCCTCTGCCTAAATAGGCTTTTTTCCACCTCGATTCCTGATTGAATGAAAAGAAGAGCTAAAATTTAGCACATTTTGTTTGTGAAATTAGGTTCAACTTGCAATTCCTTTTATTACCACCACCACAACAACAACAACAAACATAATTATAATAATAAATAAATAAATAAACAAAACCTTGAAACACAATTTCAACCAATTTCTCACATCAAATAATCCACTTAAAAAGGGGTTTTGTCACATTTGCTGTGTGAGGAGGTTCTCTAGTCTCCCTTTTGTTGGATTTATCCTACTGCTGAACTCACTTGATCCAATTTTCAGTATATGCATGACTACTGTAAGAAGCACCTTACTTCCCCAATTCATGGTTATATTGGAAGATATGCCAATTCATGGTTATATTGGAAGATATGCATGACTAAGTACCAATGTACATGATAAACAAAACTTATAATAGCATACAATTCTGCACAATTACATAATTATACGTGAAGAATAAGATCACGGCCATTTTCATTGCCTCATACAAAATGAGAAAGCTTGAGCAAGATATATTACCTATCAGGATTATTCAACATGATGCCTCAATTGAAAATTTGAAAAAGGGAAAAAGAAATGTTAAATTAAGGATATATATCAACACATTTGAAATTAGACAGCCAGCTGGAAATTTAATCCATGTTTTTCTCAGTAGTACACCATATGGATAGAAGAAAAGAGTACCTACTCACTGCCATGCTATGCCGCCAAGTCATTTGCTTTTTGGAAAACAGATTCAGTTTCTAGGTATTAAATCATCAAGTCACAAAGGAGGATGTCGTGATCTTAAGCACATATTTCTGCTGTCAATTAGGCCTTGTTAACCACAAATAATTCGCCAACTTCATCTGAATAAGGGAGTACATATTTCTCAAAGAACTTCTTATCAGTCATCCCACATACAGTCATCAAACTCGGATTTTTAAGAAGCAAATTCCTGCTTTCCAAAGCCTCCAGAACTCTTAGCCGTGGCTTAAGCCTATTCTCAACACTGAAAGTAAGTACGAATGGGTAATTAATAACATATGAGATATCACATTTGCCAGTGCTAAGCAAAAACTGCGTTGACGCCTTAATTTTGCTCTCTGACACAGCAAACACCTGAGGGTATCTCCTAAAAACTGACAAAATGTCATCTTCCGAAAACCCCAAACTCTTAAAGACCTCCAATTTCAACTCCCAATTCTCTCTAGTCATCGAACTAATAGCCCGAATCGCATGAACAAACATCTTAGACTTCCTGTCAATGCCCATCTCATCAACCCTCTTGGCAATTTCTCTAATCCTCGTCGGTTTATGCAAGAAAAGTCTTGGGAAATTATAGACCTGTTGGGTTATTTGCGACGAACTAATACCACAGCTTTTCATAAATTCAATGTTGGGTATCATAGTTTTGGCCAAATCACGCGTAAAAAACCACCCACTTTTCTTTAAAACCCTAGACACATCATCCATATTCGAACCCAAAACACTCTTCAATGCTAAAATCGACGGGCCAAGCCGATTATCAACGCTACACGTTAGAGGCTGTGGGTCATTCGAAACAAATTCCACAACATCACTAGAAGAAAAACCCAAGTCTTGAAAAAACTTGAGTTTCGGTTTGATGGAGCGCAGATTTGCAGAGAGAATTCTAGGCATGCGTTTGATGAGAAGCTCGAGATGGGTATCCGAAAAACCACTTTCCTGGAGAAATGAAAGAATCGAATCCGTCTCTTCAGGCCTTTTCACATACTTTACGACGGAAGAGACTTTCGAAGCAGTTTCAGGGGAAAATTTGTGTCTATCAATCAAGTAATCGGCCACCGCAATGGGGGTTTCTGGAGAGGAAGAGATGAAGAGGAGAGAGAGAAGAGAGATTGGGGTTTTGTTGAGATGTGAAGTGTTGTTGAGAGAGAGTGAGATAAGACTTTTGCAGATATATATAGTCCTCATTTCTTGAAGATACATACACATATAATATGCTATCAATCAAAGCGAAGAGTATAGGGATAAGCACTTGCCTGTAAAGCGCGGAGCTTCATAGATTTGCAGTGCTTCGATTTTCTCTCTATATCATTCTGGATCTCTCTCTGGTTGTCTGAGAGTGTTTGAATGATGAACCCTAAACCTAGTTCGAGCTCTTTATCATGTTTGGTTCTTCAAAGTGTTCGATTGAGTGAAAGTCCTAGCCCAAGAATTAGGTGGGCTGGTGCTCTACAGTGGCCCAAAGTTGAAGGATAGGAGATAGAATCTGGAATTGGGGCATCTCACGAAAACACAGAAAAATAATATCTAGTGTTTTCAATTTTTATTTTGTTCCTAAATTTTTTTAATTAATTCAATGAAATTAATTAATATTATGAATATATATATATATATAGGGTTTGGGATTTGGGTTCCAAACCAGAATCAAACTAAAATTTAATAACCAACTCAAAACTAAATAATTGATTAGATATACTAAAACTAAATAATTTGAAATAAAATAAAATTCATGCACCATAATTCTGAAATAAACTCTAAATCTAAAATTATGGGAAAATTAAAAATAAAAATAAAAAATTCTATCACACCAGAGTATTTAGATGCCAAAGTAGATCAAATAAATAATTCAGAATGAACAATAATAAATAATTCAATTACAAAACCTAAAAGTGTTTTACTTGTTGTCATTAATTATTTATGAAGACCACTAGTTAAATAACATTGACTATGATCATTATTAAACTAAGATAACAGCTACAACTTTAAGCCATTCTACCATTTATACCCAATCACTATTTCATCCGGATTCGATGTAGGACAAATCTCTCTTTGTAACATTTGGGGTCTTTAACTCTCAAGTCCCCTAAACGATTCAGAGACTGGTAGAGAAAAGGAGAAAAGAAAAATCAAATATTGTCGAGTTCTCGATAAATGTTTCGAGACAAGTAAAGAAGAAAATAAAAGAAAATACTATTATTTTCAAACAATAGCAATGGATGTTAAGGCCAAATAGGTATCAATATTGTTATCATCAATACACGCAAATCTTCTTAAAAACAACCATATCCAACTTATTTTTAGTTCTAATTTTCACTTGGTAGTCTTGTTCCATGGGAAAATTGTCGTGTGGGGTTGAATTTAATTAATCTCTTAATGCCAATTTACCACCACCTCAAAATGATAGGAATTTTTTGAGACTCTTCAAATGAAGTATTAATCTGAACTCCAGTGTATACCCATTCACATGTGATGATGCCAAGTTCTCAAAATTGTCGTTTGAGACTTGTGTACTCTCTTTAGACCCGCAACAACCAAAGTCAGCCTGGAGCTAGCCCTTTATATAGGGTGTGTGTGTGTGTGTGTATCTTTCTTTATATGATATATTTGATGATGCCAATTTTGTCCAATATATAACAGTCAATTAATACGCAACCTATTAGGAACGTGCAATGGTGTCTAACACAAAATGCAAAATTGTCAAAAGGATATCGTTGAGTCTACAAGAGCAATAGGCCAAAAATGACTTGATCACTAAGCCAACTTTATGCATGTTTATGTCATGCACGAACACTTTCATGTGACCCCACTACATATTTTTCCCAAGAAAGTCTTCAATCTTATTTCTAAGCCGCCATGAAATGAAACAGCCAAGAACATGCAGTGACAAAACTTGCTTGCTCTCCAAGCCTATACTTGTGTATAAATGGCTTCTTTAAGGCCTCCCAAAACATTATCATCACAAAATCAATCCAATTGTCACAAGACATCCATTTCTCACACACAATTTCACTGTACCGGCTTTATTTTTCCGGCCATGTCTTTAGCCGGTGCTGATCTTGCTGAAGTTTACATGATGCGAAAAATCCACAAGGAGAAGATGAAGAGAACATCAAAGAAGGCCAAAAGGGAGGTAATTGCAGATCATGAAAGTGAAAATCCACAAGGTTGCTACTTTTCGATCTTCAAGAAGATACATCCGACCGTCGTGCCATCGCCAAGACATGACAGAGTAGAAGCTGTGAGATTAGACCATTTATAAGCTTCAGATGAATTAAATTATATGGTTTTGTATTGTGTAATCACTGTTGGTTTGTTATAAAGATGGCAAGCCCGAGTATCAAGTATCTGTCCTCTTAGCCCGAGTATCAAGCCAATAATGCCATTGCTCAACAACTGGGAGTTGTCACGATCTTCATTTGGTGTCCTACATAACATTTATAGTATTAGACTAAAAACATATTCTCTACATTTAAAAATAAATAAATAAATAAATCAAAAACATATTAAGTTTAGTAGGATTATGAACTACCTTAAGGTGACATGACTAGGAAAGGATTCTAGCCCCACAACCATTCCATCATCAATATAAACATTGACTCTGTTGTCATTTACAGATTTACTAGAAGCATTGCCTTCATACCATGGTACTTTCTTATGAAAATCAATTGAAAATTGTCAGCAAAATAGTTCTTTGAACGCATCATACGTCATATTCGTCTTTATAGCAATAGCTTCCACCTATGTACCTAATGCTTCTATTTTCTTTTATTACTTTTTCTCTGCTATAGTGACAAAAGCAAACAACATCTAAACTTCTCTTTCCATATCTATTCAAGGTTTTCTGCCATCATAATAAATAAAAATAAAAAATAAAAAAAAAAAAAGAAGAAAGGAAAAACACACTCAATCACCATTTTCACGGTTCGGTTCGGTTATGGTTCAAAAACATGGAACCGTCTACAAACGGATTGGTTACGATTTGAGGTTCTACAAGACCAAACTGAACCGAACCGAACCGTTTTATAAATTGTATATATATTTATATATTTCGTATTATATTTTGTATTATATAAATAATAAAATAATAAGATTAGCTCTTTAACCACACAAATATATATCATAATATATAATAAAAATTATATTATAATAGAAAATTATATTATATATAATATATATTTTTAATTGTATATATATATTAGATTAAATTATAAAAAACCCTAAAACTATGAAACCCAACCAAACCAAACCCTTTTTTTATGGTTTGGTTTGGTTCAGTTCCATTGGAACATGGTTTGGTTCGGTTCCAATTTTTATGGAACCTTTATAAATGGTTGGGTTCCAAAATATTCTCAAACCAGTCCAATTCGAACCGCGTGCACCCCGAAGCCGAACACAAGCTATAAAAGTAGTAACCTGGGGTATGCTATAAAAGAGAGAACAGTTATAAAATGGGATTTAGAATATCTATCCAAAATCATGAGTTAACAACGGCTTATATGATGAAAGTTATTACTTTTGTCCATCTTTTTCATCATTGCTCAAAGACATTTTTAGTTCAGAAGGATTGCAGAATAAAGATCACTGTCATAGAGAAAGGGTTTCACTACAATTGAAATTTGGTCTCAAATGAACCACCAAATGACTTATGGCTCAGGACTATTTAACAATTTGAGAAAGAACTAAATTTTGAGGAAAAATACTTTAATGCCCCTGCATATCATCATTAATTCTATGGACAGAAAGGGAATTAATAATTCTGGCACAAGTTGGGAGCATCTTTCAACTAAATTAACTACATATGTGTATATATATATATATATATATATATATATATATATATATATATATCACACACATAGTACTATGACTGTATATGTGAGCATCACATCATGTTTCTTGTTAAGGGCATTTTAGAAAGACCATTGCCAAAAGACATTTTTAGTTCAGGAGGATTGCAGAATAAAGATCACTGCTATAGAGAAAGACAGGATAAGGAGAAATCTCTTGGGATCTTTACTCATCCACTCACCTTCCAAAGTAAAATGTGAAGAATTCATTATAGGAGAATGCCAGTATGAGTTTTTGTTAGAACAATAAATAAATAGACTAATAATTTGGGAACAGGTTAGATTGAATTTTGGTGTGGTCAATGGACTGGTTGAAACCACTTCATACAAGTATTTAAGGACAAATTAAATGAAAAATGCATGATCCTCTATTGGGGGGACATTTCAATAGAATTTAGAATGTTATAGGAGTAAATTATGCACTTTACTAATGTATATTTCATCGACAGTGTAACCTACTAGAATAAATCTTGACGAGGTAAGCTCAGACAAATTATAAGAAGTGAAAAATGGTCATCCTCATCTGTAAGGCGACCCAGGATAGGCACCCTCACTGCCTAAGTAGGCTTTTTTTCCACCTTGATTCTAGATTGAATGAAAAAATAGCTAAAAATTGGCACATTTTGTTTGTGAAATTAGGTTCAACTTGCAATTCCTTTTATTACCACCACCACCACAACAAAACAAAACAAAACCTTGAAATTTAATTTCAACCAATTTCTCACATCAAATAATCCACTTAAAAAGGGGTTTTGTCACATTTGCTGTGTGAGGAGGTTCTCTAGTCTACCTTTTGTTGGATTTATCCTACTGCTGAACTCACTTGATCCAATTTTCAGTATATGCATGACTACTGTAAGAAGCACCTTACTTCCCCAATTCATGGTTGTATTGGAAGATATGCATGACTACTGTAAGTACCAATGTACATGATAAACAAAACTTATAATAGCATACAATTCTGCACAATGACATAATTATACGTGAAGAATAAGATCACGGCCATTATCATTGCCTCATACAAAATGAGAAAGCTTGGGCAAGATATATTACCTATCAGGATTATTCAACATGATGCCTCAATTGAAAAATTGAAAAAGGGAAAAAGAAATGTTAAATTAAGGATATATTTCAACACATTTGAAATTAGACAGCCAGCTGGAAAATTAATCCATGTTTTTCTTAGTACACCATATGGATAGAAGAAAAGAGTACCTACTTACCTGCCATGCTATGCCTCGAAGTCATTTGCTCTCTGGAAAAAAAAATTCAGTCTCAGCCTGCCCCTAGGTAAGTCATAAAAGATATCATGATCTTAAGCACATATTTCTGCTTTCAACGAGGCCTTGTAGCCACAAATAATTCGCCAACTTCATTTGAATGAGGGACCACATATTTCTCAAAGAACTTCTTATCAGTCATCTTGCATACAGTCCCCAAACTCGGCTTTTTAAGAAGCAAATTCCTGCTTTCCAAAACCTCCAGAACTCTTAGCCGTGGCTTAGTCCTATTCTCAACACTGTAACAAAGTAATTCTGGGTTATTAACAACATACGATATATCACATTTGCCTGTGCGAAGGAAAAGCTGTGTTGTCTCCTTAATTTTCCTCTCTGACAGACCAAATAACTGAGGCGCTCTCCTAAAAACTGACAAAATGTCATCTTCCGAAAACCCCAAACTCTTAAACACCTCCAATTTCAACTCCCATTTCTCTTTAGTCATCGAACTAATAATCCGAATCGCTTCAAGAAACATCTTAGACTTCCTGTCAAAGCCCATCTCATCAACCCTCTTCACATTTTCTCTAATTCTCGTTGGTTTAAGAAAGCAAAATGTTGGGGAATTATAGACACGTCGAGTTATTTGCGATGAACTAATGCCACAGCTCTTCAAAAATTCAATATTGGGTATCATAGTTTTTGCCCAATCCTGGCTCAAATTATGCCCAGATCTCTTTAAAACCCTAGACACGTCCATATTCGAAACCAAAACGCTCTTCAATGCTAAAATCGATGGGCCCAGCTGACTATCAACGCGAGTTAGAATCCGAGGGTCAGACGAAACAATTTGCACAATATCGCTAGAAGAAATACCCAATTCTTGAAAAAACTTGAATTTGGGTTTGATGGAAAGCTCAAGATTTGCAGAGAGAAGTTGAGGCGCGTGTTTGATGACACGCTCGAGATTGGTATCCGAAAAACCACTTTCCTCGAGAAATGACAGAATCGAATCGATCGTTTCAGGCCTTTTTAGATTGGGGCTTCTTGGAGAGAAAGAGACTTTCGAAGCAGTTTCAGGAGAAAATTTGTGTCTCTCAATCAAGTAATCAGCCACCGCATTGGGGCTTTTTGGAGAGGAAGAGAAGAAGAGGAGAGAGAAAAGAGAGATTGGGGTTTTGTTGAGATGTGAAGAATTGTTGAGAGAGAGTGAGATGAGACTCTTGCAGATGTATATAGTCCTCATTTCTTGAAGATGCACACACATATACTAATATGTTATCAATCAAAGCGAAAAGTGTAGAGATGAGTACTTGCCTGTAAAGTGGGGAGCTTCTCCTACTCTCTCTGATTCTCAGAGAACAGTGTGCCCTAACCCTAGTTCGAGCTCTGTAAGTTAGGCTCATTTCCAAATAAAAAATAAATTATTAGGCCTTTAGCTGACTGGGTCTAAGAAGTAAAGCTTAATGGGCCAAGTAATAACTAGGCCCATCAACCTCTCTCGCTCTCTACGCGATCCCGAAAACTGCCTCCACAATTAAGCCACATGATCCCTTAATATTATCATTATTCATAGTAATTATATAATTTAAAAAATAATATATTTGATTCGGTTCGGTTCCAAAGGATCTGAAAACGAACCGTTACTCAACGGTTCTATAAATTTAAACTAAAACTGGACTCATGAGGAACCGGAATCGAAGCACTGATTCAGTTCGATTCCGATCGATTCTCCAATTCCACTAGTTCTTTGTACATTTAATTTAAACTAAGTCCTTTTTATACACCGGACGGTGCATAGAATAGGATGATATTCAATATCTTTTTATATGAAGGGAAATTATGGTATAAAAAATATTAGAACTAAATTTTGTATGATGTAGGGCTAAAGTGCAAAAAAAATCCTCCTAAATTATGTCCAAATTTACAAATAAGCCCCTTAAATATTTTTTGTGCATAAAACCCCTGAGTTATCACATTTAGTTGCAAAATACTCCATTGCCTTGACTATTTTTCATTAAATGACTATTGTACCCTTTCTTGTTGAATTACATTTAATCTATTTTTCTTGTTGAAATAAATTACAAAAAAAATTCATAATAATTTGATGAAATATTCTCTATTAAATTTGTATAATTTTGACTTTTATTTTGAAATTAACTATTTAAATAAAAATCTTAAGTAGAATATTTTCAAATAACTTAAGTAATTTCCTAATTTTTTATGAATATATTGCATAAAAAAAGATATTTTTTATTTACGTAATTTGTTAATATTGCATAAAAAAGAAGATTTTTTTTACACAATTTTTTTTTAAGTGAGTATAAAAAAATTTTATTAAATAAGTTAATCATTTTAAAAAAATGGTAGCTACTAATCTATTTATTATTTTCCATTTTTATGGTAAATTGATACGGATTATAAAATTAAGGTAAATGGTATAATTAATTTTTGAATAAGAGAAAATATAATAGAAATAATTTAATAAGAAATGACAATTTAAATAAGAAAGAGTAAAATAGTGATGAGTTTGTCCTTAATTGCAACAAATTAATAGTTCAGTAAGACAATCTTTAGTTCAAGGGGTTATCTGTAAAATGGCCCTAGTTAAGTGGTTTTATGCACCTTATCTTGTAGGGATTCTATTATAATTTTATTTTTAGAAAAAAAGGAAATGGAATGTCAGTGGAGCGCCAATATTAACTCTTTTTTATCTTTTTATTTTTATTATTTTTTTATAATCATGCCAATTTTTTCCAATGTACAACAGGCAACCTTTTAAGAATGTGCAATGGTGTCCAAAAATGACTTGGTCACCAAGCCAACTTTCCTTGTAAAAATAACCAATTGGGATTTAAAAAAAAAAAACACGATCTCTAGTAATGAATCAAACCATGCTATGATACCACTGTTGGGAAACGTGCAAGTTTTAAAAACTTTATGAGGGATTTTTAAATATAGATCTTGATTTATCACATAGAGACAAGTTTTATGCAAAAATAAAATATGATGTATTATTCAATTAATAGATTGAATACTTACATCAAGGTTTGAGTAAATCTTGGATTTCTCCTCTAAAGTGAATGTTTTCATTTATTGTAGATCCCTTTGTTAGATGACATCTCCTTGTATCTCCATCTTCATGGTAATAGTTTTGTCTTTACGAATCACCCATAAGCCTCTATGAATGACGTTGGAAAACTAGACTTGTGGGAGCCTCCATCAGATGAGAAAGCAAACCCTAAAATCTAGAGAGAAAAAAAATATATTCCTTTTTATTTTTTTCCAAAAATCTCACCTAAAATATACATGAACCCATGTATATATAGGTAAACATAAAAATAAGAAAAAGAAACAATAAATCCTTTTCAATCTCTAATTCACATATTTCAAATCTAATAAGATTCCAATATCAAGTTGGGCTATGAGTGAGAATCCTATTGGGCTTATTATTTTCTTAGCTACAATGAATTAATAATTGGCCCGGTCCATGGACCCAATTAAATTAATTCATTAATTAATTTCTGCTCCACTAAAAGAAATTAATTGAACTTCAATTAAATAATAAATAACCTCTAAGTCAATGTTGCACTTTGACCCCTCTATGCATAATTAGTTATCGGATAAATAAAGCCATCAATCTGACCATTTTATTAATATATTTATTTTGGTACTTTTGATTATATCCGGTTTGATCACAATAAAACATTTGTTTGACAAAAATAATAATTTAAATAAATAAATATATAATAAATTATTTTATCTAAAAACACACGAAGGCCTTTGAATTTACTTTATGATCAACTATAACCAATACAAAATAAATACAAGTAGCAATAATATAAATATTGAAAATATAACCCTCTAACTATTAATTACATACTTACCCAAAGTGCCAGTCTAAGGATTCCGAAGATTCCGCCGAACAAATTAAAGTAATTACTAATTAATAAAAGAGTCTATACTTCCCTCGTACTTAAGAGTAAAAAATTATAATGGTGATAGGGAGCAATTGCATATGACGACTCTCGCAATATATCTCAACCTAACGCGGATCTAGTTCAAGTTTTAGTTAATAATGAGTCCATCCATAATTACCGACTATGAACTATTTATGATTACTATTTATATTCATGTATTGATCACCATCACATACATGTATAAATATCTCTTGTAATCAAGTGGACACTATCAATTCCATAATGAATCGAAACATAATACATTGAATTCATTAATTGTATAAAGCATAAATATTTCAGATATCTTAGGAACATATGTCACTTTAATCCAATTAGAAATTCGCTATGTCAGGGCATATAAATCCCATCATTGTGCACTTTTCAGTCCTTTATACTGTATATATATATATATATATATATATATATATATATATATACTCTTTATATGATATATTTTGTTCAATAGTAGTCAATTAGTAGGCCACCTTTTAGGAAGGTGCAAATCAAAGGTGTCTACACAAAATGTAGAGTTTTTCTATGGCTAACCTCGACAAGAGAATTAAGCCAAAAAATGACTTGCTCACTAAGCCAACTATATAAATGCATGTTTATGTCATGCATGATTCATGATGTTAAAAGGACCACTTTTCATGTGACCCCACTTTATATTTTTCCCAGGAAAGTCTTCAATCTTATTTCTAAGCCGCCATGATGAAATAAAACAGCCAAGAATGACCGGTCCTTTACAAGGGTCGCGATACCAAGTCAAGCTTAAAGAGTTGTGAATTTAGGAGGTGGCCAAGTTTTACATTTATAGAAAGTCACTACTACCTTTCTCTATATAAAATATAGATAGGGCGAGTAGGGATCGTCCCAAGGGATTTGATGGTGTATCGAATTGTGAAACTATGGTAATTAGGGTTAGTAGGTCGAGTGATCACACAATTGATTGGTTGGTTGATTATACTAAATGAGCTAAACTATAATAAAGCAATGCAATAAGATAAAGAGTAAGTAAGAAGGAAAGGTCTTGGGGTGTAGAGATCACCACCAAACAATACTATTCCAAACCATAATCAAGTGACTAATAAGGGAAATGAATGTGTTGCAACAATGTTGTGTGTGTAAAAGACATTCAATTGGTAAGGGTGACTCAACAAGTGCAAATTGTCTCAATCAACATGTGTGAGGTCACAATACATCTATTGGTAGAGGAATATATTGTCTAAACATCATGTGAAGATAACAAAATAACAATTCAAGTCATTGAACCTTTCATTAAGCTCATAGTCTAAGCAATCCATAAGGATGATTTAGTTAAACATGCATTATCTAAACATCATGTGAGAGGTACAAAATATCTATTGGGAGAGGAATAAATTGTCTAAACACATGTGAAAGATACAATATATCATAACTAGTCATTAATCCTTCATTAAGCTCAAAATTCCATTACACCACAATATTAGAGCATATGCTTCTTGCATTCAAAAGCATGGAACATCAAAGAACAAGCATGAATTGTTTCCCCAACTAACACTACACTACTTAAAAGAGAAGCACAATCCATCAAGGAATAAGTATGAACCATCTAAAGACATAACAAGAGCATTACATTAAGAACTTCATATTTTGACAATCTCAAGATTAAAGGCATTAATACACATAGACATGCATCAATAACATTAAATCTAGAGGTGAGCATCTACTCTAGCATACATAGACATATAGATAGAGAAAATGATCAATTAGAAGCATTAATCCATAGAACTCAATGAATAATCAAGATCTTCATAAGTTCAAGAGTCAAAATATGCATTACAACACAAATCCCTCAAAATTACACAAGATTAGGTAAAGAAAGCATGTTTGGGGCTAACTCTAGCCCCAAAAGGATGTCTAGCCACTCATGATGATGAAGCTCAAACCCTCAAGGGCTAAATCCATGGTGAAAATCTGCTCCTTGATGATGAAGGTCTCCTCCAAAGGTTGTTCTAGCTTCCTCCCTTCTTCCTCTCCAAGAATAGCCTCCAAGATGATTTTCAATGTGTGACAAGAGACTCCCTCAAAAAGTGTATCATATTTCAAATACACCCCATGATGAGCTGTGGTCGTGCAAGGCATATTCTCCAATCATTGGATGAAGGACGGAATAAATGAGCTGGACTTTAACTTTTTCTCGCTGGAGGAAGTTCGATCGATCGAACCTTAACTTGGATCGATCGAAAATGGGTTCGATCGATCGAACTGCATCTTGGATCGATCGAAGTGGTCTGACTCCTTCGGATAATGACAAGGCTGGGATATTTTCAAGATATTTATGGGGAAAAAGACAAAAGTGGGTGGTAGGCGTACAACTGTGGATAATTTCAATCATTTGAATAGGACAAAATAGGGTTCGATCGATTGAAGGTGATGTTCGATCGATCGAACTTGGAATTTCAGCAAAGGCCAAGGTTGGATCTTTCGAGAAGTACTGTGATCGATCATAGATGTTCGATCGATCAAACTCTAAGTTGGATCGATCGAACTTTTCAGCTGCACAACTT